ACCCTAACCCTAACCCTAACCCTAACCCTAACCCTAACCCTAACCCTAACCCTAACCCTAACCCTAACCCTAAACCCTAACCCTAACCCTAACCCTAACCCTAACCCTAACCCTAACCCTAACCCTAACCCTAACCCTAATTACATACGGAGTGCACGTCATTCCAACATCTCTCTACTTACCCTTGAACAGGTCAGTCCAGACGATTTTCGTTCAGTTGGGTATCTCTTGTCGAGGTGTGATGACGAAGGGGAACGGTTGAGGCCGCCTGTCCGTGCAAGTTAAACCGAGGAACGGTGTCAAAGCACGAATAGCCTCACAACAGGATGTTTCCATCAATACTATCAGGTGAAGGAATGATTACTTTCCCGTCTGGTTCGGTCGCCTTCTCGAAGTGGAAGGCCCACAACAAGTTCGCCATGGCCAGAAATAGCACTTCTTGAGCGAAATTTCTACCCGGACAGATTCGGCGACCGAAGCCGAACACGGGCGGGTCTGGAGGAGGCGGGTCGGCTAAGAACCTTTCCGGTTTAAAGAGCTCGAAGTCTGGGTACACTGCTGGATCTCTGCACATACTCCTAGTCTTCATCAGTAACATCAATCGACAGGTGGAGGATGGCCGCACCATTGGTTTGCGAAGACGTAAGTACCTTTCCGGATTCGAAACTGCTTATATAAGAAATCCTAGAAACGGGTCAGGCAGCCCATCATATCGTTGGCCCAGGGAAAGCATACTTCAGACGCTGTGTGCGGTAGACCTGTGGAATTCCTCAGGGTTGTTGAACTGACATTTATCTCAGATGTCACTCACCAGCTGGTAGTACAGGTCTCCATCGAAGGGTTTCTTTCATTACTGCCACGAGGTATGGCAGCTTGCTACGATGTTCAAAGGTCGGAGGCCTGTTTCCTGCAACCGTGCTAACTTCGCCTTGTGCCCGTTGGTACACTTCAGGGAAAAGGACCATAGCCATCACAAACCAGTGCAGAGTATAAGGCGTCTATCGCACGGTCAGATACCTGATATGGGGACACAAACATGTCATACAGTCTCCACGCCTGCACCGCTACCGAATGAATTAGCGAAGGTCATGAAGACGTGGTGCGACTCACTATAGAGAAAAGGACGTCCATGCGATCTCCGCGTCCGAAATGCCATCTGTTCTATCGCGCATACGTGCGCAACTAGCGACAAAACCCGAATCGCTCTGGCGCCAGTCAGACAGCACAATACAATGCTAGTAATGGGCAGTACCTGTCCTGTGAGCCCCGGCTGAGCCATCTCCATAAAGAATTTGTCGTTCTCGTTAAAATATCGGGTTCCAAACTGCTTCCACGGGCTTAGGCTTTCAGGGAGAATGTCAAGTGAAGGCATCAAGTTAATAAGAAAGGTGGCCGGAGAGGCGGCATCTCCGAGCACTTCAAGCAGTTTCCAAACTCGGTGAATGTTACGCCTCTGGTTGACTCCTCCTGCATCGCGACCATACAGAGCTTCGTATGCCAATGCCCCACTAAACTGCGTCAGTTCCTCCCGAAGCTGCATTGGATCGACATCGGGAAGCCGCCGTAGTAATTTTGCTGTGGCATGCTCGTAAAGGGTGCGGTAATTGTCAAGCGCTTGGATGTTGAAGTTCTCATGTGCCAAACGGCGACATCGTCGCCAACTGTGCATGAGAGTAAAAAGGGGCAACCTGTACCATCCAACGGAGTTCTCACCGATCGTTATAATTATCAAACGGGAAAGACATACGGCGCAGCATATAACGCACCTGCCTCGCTGTAAGTGTTAAGACAAAGAAAGGAGGCCGGGACAACGGACCATTGGAAGTGCGGGTCTATCAGATGTCTGTACGCTCATCTTGTCCAGGATATCGACAGCAACGTCAGCGCGGGTGATGACCAGGAATTTCTGACCGGCAGCAGAAAGCGTGAACCAGCCATCGTATAGTTTGCTCCATTCATCGAACTTGCGAAAGACAAACTTCGTTGGAAGATCAAGGGCGGAGCCAAGAAAAGGGAGTCCACGCGGACCGGGAGGAGATGGCTCAGCTTTACGCTGGAGACCGAGCAGCAGGCACGCAAACAATGCGGCAGGAATGAAAAGCCAGCTGACCGACATGGGTTATGGGTTATGGAGTTTCGAAAGGAACAAGATGTTGCGGGGTTTGGTGGCCTATAAGTAGTTTCAGCGTCGGCATCCTTGGGAATGGTTGACGGCAAGGTATCCTGTGAGCAGTCGGGCCCGCACAGGTCTGCGTAATCTGCTTACAATATGTTTGCATGGTTTTTGAATGGGACAGCGCCCGGTTTCATGTGAAGTGCCTAGGCCGGTACCCTTGCAAGACATGCTGCACAGGAAACTGAATTGGAGAAGCATCCGTCTGACACCCGGTAAATTCGGTCGCGTGCGGTAACAGTATATACTTGAGAGCTAGAGCTTGAATGGGGTGAGGGAATAAACAACCGCGATTGGCAAAGCAAAGGAGTAAAAATTACGATCTAAACATCTTCAGAGGGTCCTTCTTCCGTCCACTTCCGCGTCCACCTCTTCCTCCTCGTCCGCCTCGCCCCCGGCTCTTTCCTCGGTTTCTTCCATTATCCTTGTTGAATGGGACGAACCCCAATTTATCTTGTGAAATTTCCTCGCCCACTACATTGGTGTCAACTGCGGCGATGCGCGGAATGAGATATGAAGGGATATGCTTCATGTGAGACTGAATGCGCTGCGGGTGTAAGGGTTTGTCGTGTCTGAGGTATGCCAAGTCAAGTGGATTGTCCTCGAAATGCGCCTTCACGGGCGCGTAAGCTAAATGAACGCCAAAGCCATGCGAGACGCACCTTCAACTTTTCTGACTTCAGAATTTCCTCCTTGACCTCCTTGATCCTCGCTTCCCTGACCGCAGCCCGTGTCACGGCACGCATCGCATCTCCAGCACGGTATCTGAAAGCCTCGACCTGCTTTTCCTCAAACGTCCACTCTTTGATTCCACCACGATTACTCTGATCCTTCAGAATCCTGTCAAACACGTTTTCGTCTTCTTTCGCTCCAGGCAGGCTGATGATCTTATTCTTTCCCCAGTGAGCGAACAGCACAATGAAGGAAATGGCGATGCCCGTTTTTCCCGCACGCGCAGTGCGTCCGATCCTATGTGTATACGCGCGAGACGTAGGAGGAAGGTCGAAGTTGATGACACACGAAACATCGACAAAATCAATCCCGCGCGAAACACCATATTCTTTGTCGGTGCGCACTCTGGATTTACGCTTCTTTTTGTTTTGCGACGCAGGTTCCGGCGAGCGCTTACGCTTGAGAGAATCGCCGGTACTGCTCTCAATAATCGCGTCTTCATCTGGTTGGGTTGATATCTCTGTTCTGTATGAGCTGGGGCACATGAACCAGTGTGGAGGACTGACCCGTGGTTTGCTCCTCCACAATCACCGTATCTTCTTTTTTGGTCTGGTCTGCCTCCTCTCCTTCAGCTGCTACGCCACTCTCGTCCGTCGCCACCACATAGTCGTAGAGCCCGCTGTTGAACTCCTGTACGATATGAAATCTTGAGTTCAACGGGAGCTCCGCGTCGAGCACACACGCCCGTATTGAAAACTGCTCGAGGAATAGTTTCAATCGGTAGCACCGGTCCGGTGAGTTGACGAATATGATGCATTTGCCTCGTATGAGGCGTAGTTTAAGGATCACGTAAAGGAGAAGAAACTTGTCTTCTTCCGAGCAGTGGACACTGTACTGGGAAAGTGACCTTGCGACATCTGTGTCTTCCAGCCGGAGAATTGCCTGAACATAGGTCAGATTTCTAGTAATTTATATGGAAGAGGCACGTACGGGATTGCGCAATACCATCCCTCTCAGTTGTTCGACATCCTCTGTCATCGTTGCGCTCATCAGGAAGCTTTGATAAATATTGGGCAAGTAGTCTCCCTGAAGCAGTTTGCGGACATCTGCGTCATGCCCGTATGAGAGAATTAGATCAGCCTCGTCGATGACAAGAGACTCGACCGAGGCAAGAGTAAGGTATTTGCTTGAAAGGGCGGAGAGGACTTTAGAGGGCGTGGAGATGACAATATCAGGAATCTCCGTGAGAAGCGTTCTGACAAGCAGTGTTATGAATAGGTACATTGCACAGCGACGAGATCTCACTTTGATAACTGCGCCCCAGCAGCAATATTGGATACCATGACTTCATTTTGACAATACTTCAGCGCCCCATCCAAGAACTTTTTGACCTGCTCCGCCAATTCCCTTGTGGGCACCAAAATCAAGCCCCTAGTTGCGTGCCTCCCACCTGCGTTCCTCGCTTGTAGTATTCTCTGAGTTACTGGAAGGCAGTAAGCGGCTGTTTTTCCCGATCCTGTGCGTGCGCGGGCAAGAATGTCTCGTCCTTCAAGAGCGAGGGGTATTGCGCGGGCTTGAATTGGAGTTGGTCGAAGGAAGGAAAGATCAGCAAGGGCGCGTAGAAGACGAAAGTCAAGAGGAGGTGATATTGACGTGAAAGTTTCTCCACCTGAGGTGGATGCTTCTGGTTCTGGTTCTGCCATGTTGAATATAAGAGGGTATACTTGACCGTTGTATCCTGTTTCCTGAACTGATGCTCAAGAGGTCAGGGACTGCAACCGGCGCTTCAACTTTTTCAGTGAGCGCTTCGGAGCCGAGTTCGGCCGGATGCGGAGATTACCGCCGAAGAGGACCCTAGGAAAGTAGCGAAAAAGGTTGGAACTCTTATCAACGACTAAAACGGCCAGCAGCGTGACTCGGATTTTCACCTCAACCAGATAAAACACCCCATTCAAGCGTCCCCGCTAGGTTCATAACTCTTTGAACAAAAACATGGCATCCAAGCAGTCAAAGGGCCGTGTCCTCCTCGCCTACTCTGGCGGCCTTGGTATGCTCTTGAATCACCAATGCTTTCAGCCAGCTCACCGAAACCAACAGATACCTCATGCATTCTGGCATGGCTCATCGAGCAGGGCTACGAAGTTGTCTGCTTCATGGCTGATGTCGGTCAAGAAGAAGACTTCGTTGCTGCGCGTGCAAAGGCACTCAAAGTGGGCGCACTCAAGTTCCACCTGGAGGACATGAAGCGCGAGTTTGTTGAGCAGCTCATTTACCCGGCGGTCCAGGCCAACTGCATCTACGAGGGTGTCTACCTCTTGGGGACGTCGTTGGCTCGACCCGTTATTGCACGCGGGATGATCAGTGTTGCCGAAAAGGAAGGTTGCGAGTGCGTACGTTCCAGCTTCCGTCATGAAGCTGTGCTCATGTGGGTGATATTAGCTTCGTCTCCCACGGCTGCACTGGCAAGGGCAACGACCAGGTTCGCTTTGAGCTGGCCTTCTACGGCCTCAAGCCCACCATCAAGGTCATCGCCCCCTGGCGCATTCCTGAATTCTACAATCGCTTTGCTGGCCGCTCCGCGCTGCTGGCATTCGCTGCGGAGAAAGGTATTCCCGTGGTACAGACCGCAGCTAAACCTTGGAGCACGGACGAGAACCTCTTTCATATCTCATATGAAGCCGGCATCCTCGAGGACCCCGACGTTACCCCGCCCGCGGATATGTGGAAGCTTACTACTGACCCACTGAAGGCGCCTGCTGAACCCGAGCGGCTCCAGATTGTATTCAAGACCGGCCTGCCCGTAAAGGTCACCACCCAAGACGGGAAGGTCTATACAGACAGTGTAGAGATCTTCCTCGCGCTCAACACCCTGGCGCGTAAGCACGGCGTGGGCAGGATCGACATTGTTGAGAACCGCTTCATTGGAGTTAAGAGCCGCGGCTGTTACGAGAGCCCTGCAGCGACGATCCTGCGTAGGGCACATATGGATCTCGAAGGTCTCACGCTCGATCGCAACGTCCGCGCGCTGCGGGACCAGTTCGTCACTGTGCAGCTTTCAAACATCCTGTACAATGGGTACTTCTTCTCTCCCGAGCGAGAGTTTGTGACTAGCTGCCTTCCCGCCTCCCAGCGCACCGTCAACGGCACCGTCCGCCTTGCACTCTATAAGGGTAACGTCATCGTTGAGGGACGTTTCTCTGACGAGGTCAGTTTCATTTCCCTTGATGATTCACAAATACTGACGACTGGGGTTCCAGAAACTGTACGATGAGAAAGAGTCTTCCATGGATGAATTGGGTGGATTCGAGCCCACCGATACCACCGGTTTTATCAAAATCGAATCCATCCGTATTCGCAAATGGGGCGCTGCCAACATCCAGAAGGGCCAGGCAGGCACCGCACCCGAGGACGTCTACGGGACCCGCTTGTAAACAGCTGTTTTCCGTCACAAATTGCACCCCTTACGTTGTGCATGAGATAGTGTATGATATGTCTCGTGCTTGATCATCGTCCGAAAGACTTCCCACAGTGAAATTGATGGTCTAATACTGCATTGCATACGAAAGCTGGTGTGTTTGTAATACAGTGGATGCGGGTATCACGATGACGGTGTATGTACATGGGTAAATGCCAGATTCCTTCCTTAATTATCGAGATTCCTCAACCGCAGCTCAACGAGGAACTCCTTGTCCCGTACGGTCTGCACCCACAGCCCGATAAGCTCGAACACCCGAATGAGCAGGAGGGTTTGACAGAGCGTCATGACCCAGAAAGGATAAATCATGCGATCTAGGGGTTGTTGAGTTAGGTTACTGAATAAAAAGTATGTTCTACGGGAATGAGGACGCACAGAGCACAATGGGATGATCGCTGCAGAATCCCAGGCGAATTAGACTTCTCGCCAGGTATGCGGGAAGGATATTCGCCCCAAATCCTGTTATAATGAGTGGAAATATGACGTTTTTGGTTAATGTCCAAGCTTGCGGGTTGGCCCAGCTATTTGCACGAGCCTGCTGAGCAATTAGCATGTGATGAACACGGAACGCAAACCCATACTTCATCTATCGCCTCCATTATGGGCGCGCGACGTAGCCTTAGCAGCCGGGCTGCAATTTGGCATAAGACCACTCCAGAAGCCCAATTCTCCACGACATGGAAAACAGGTGTCCGTAGAGGGTGGACGACGAACTTGACCGGCAAAATTACATGCAACTCGAGCGCGATACCGGCAAGAATCGGGAGAACGATATAGAAGGCGAACATGAGCCAAGTCATTTTAATGAGCCAAAGGGAACCTTTGATCGCCCGTCCAGCAAGCACGGGGAACGCTGACATGTTCGGCCGACGGGCGACAACGCGATAGATCGAACGACCGAAATAGAAGCCCACGGTGAGAATATGAAATCCGACTCCGAAAGCATAGACGTCATGCACCTCGCGGTCAAGAAGACCATCGAGAAGCACTCTTCCAGTAATAAGAGGCGCCGATATAAACGCCACCAAACCAGCCATGCCAAACATCCATATTAGGAAGCTGAAGATCATGACACGACGACCAAAGTGAGGAGGCAGAAATACGACTGTGTAGTCGTCCTGCGGGTTTCGTCCATGTCGTCGGGCCTCTTCGTCTTGACGATCCATTCGTTCACGGGCCGCTTCGTCAATCGGGTGACCATTCGCGTCCAAAGGAATTACGACTCGAACACGAGGAACCAACATAATTTGATCATTCGCAGGCACCCGGAAAAGACCTCCGTCAGGTTCCAATGCCACAGCGCCTTCACCATGTCCCAACAGAAAACCGAAGTGCTGGGGATGTTCCTCCTCGGGGTGACGTCCGCCGAACATATACGAGGTTAACCTTAGTCGGATTGACAAAGCTTTCCAAAGCCGCGTGGCAATATCCTTTACATATCGACGAAGGCGGAGCTTCTTAACCGTTGCGGGCACCACAATGTGAACGAAGAGGAGGTCAATGGGCACTTCTGACAGAGGCTGACTGAGACAATGTGAATCACTCCTCGAAGGTTGTTTGGAAAGAAACTCACTGTATTTTCCAACGGAATGGGAGAAGACCCTGGAAAGGACGAAAATGCCGCATGAACCAAATAACACTGCCGATGCCGACAAAGACCACAAAGCAGTACATAAGGGCGCTCGTGAATAGCTTGCGAAGCTGAGATGCTGCTGGACGACTTAGTATGTCTTGGATCGGTGAATACTGTGGATCTTGGGGATCTTTGAGGAACCACAATGCTCCAGGTCGCATGATTTTCCGACAGCCGTCGAGCAGCATAGCGAACTGGAACATGACTGCACCATATGAGGTAACGTAAGAGGAGTAATAAGAAACTTACACATCGTGCCAAGGGTCCAATGAATGAAGGTACATGTCACGGGAGCATAGACCGCGAACGCTACCCTCTTCACAATAGTCGCCTCAGGAAACAGAGGCATAGCGCAGAGATCGAGAACAATGCCACAACCCAAAGGGAACAGTACGAGCTCGATCACGATGAAGAAGGCGACCTATCACTTTGTTAGACGTTGATATAATACAATATTAGAACTGCACCTTCGTAACCAAAAGCTGCTGGTGCAGACTGTTCCTCAAACTCTTTGCAAATCCCTTGATACGCTCCTGTTTGACGCTCTGCATCCATATTCCAAGTCCAATAGCGATGAGGGAGTATCCCAACGAAATTGTAAACGCCCTACTGAACGCAGTGTCTTTTTCAACGAAGAGCCTGAACTGTTGGCTGTATGTCTTGCGCAGATCCTTGAGATGGGGTTTGATATGGCGAAGGAATGCCCCAATCGTGGCGAAGCTTTCTTCTGCAGAAGGATGTGCGTCGAATGCAGAGTCGAAGTAAGACATGGCGGATGCCGAGTAGCTTTGGATGGTTGCATTGACGCGTGGCCAAACAATATTCTTGAGAACGTGCGTTGCAGGAGTAACAGGGGCACGACGGGGAAAGACAGTGGCAGCCGCCCTCAGACACACCTTCCATACACCCAAGGTGATTGCTCTAAGAGGGGATGGGGCAAGAAGACGGGCTAGGCCGAAAAGAAGTGTGCGGGTAATGACTGCGATAACATCCACGACGGGATCGGTGAAGATACGAATAAGCTTGATGGGAAGATTAATAATAAGGAGGGCCCGTCGATGATCCAGCTATCCATGCACATTAGGAATGGCAAAGAAATTGTCCATAACAAAAACTCACCGAGAGTAGAGCAGCAGATTTCCCGATAATGAAAGGCAAGAAGACAGCCGCCCCGATGAATACATCGAGAATGCACATCATTAGCGCAACATTCTGGAACAGCTGGTGTATTGGACCACGCATGCCAACGGCCTCCAACGCACCATCCATGTCATCGTCGCCGTCTCTCGCGTCTCCTTCCCCAGCTGCAATTTCCGCGACATCATTATTGATGACCATTAAGGGCTGCGGCTCGTCATCCACCATTCTAGGCTGTACAGGTGGCAGGGCTGGGGCTGGGGCCGGAGGCGGCAAAACGTCTTCTTCCAACGGATTGGCCACATTCACGGTAAGATCACGTCCGGGGGAATTGAGTCGGTCATGCTCGGACGGACGTCCAGGGTGCGAACCCTCTGGTGGTGCTTCATTGGCAGAGAGGTCTGTCTCTTCGGCATCTCCGAAGTAGTCCATATCCTCAGGAGCACGATAGTAGGCTCCACCGGGACTGTCCACTCCACGAATATTCGAGGCAGAGGTCGATGCCAGCGGTGTGGCATCATCGCTTTGTCGATGGACAGAGCGATGGATTGGCGTGGGTAATGAAGGCGGTAAACCTGGCCGACGAGGTGAGATGCGATTTGGAGAACTGGGGTTAAGCAAGGGAATAGAGCTCGATAGCGTAGGTGTCATAGGGGTTTGAATGGTAATTCGAGGTGGTGGTGGAGCACGTTCTTTCCCCTTCTCTTGGGCAGGAAGAGTGAATGGATTAGTCTGCGCGTTGCTCAAGTCGCCACTGTCCGTCTCATGCTCGTCGTCAGAGTCACTGCTGTTTGGAAGCGCCTCAGGGCTCCTCCATGGGGTCGGCGGTCGCTTCGCAGCGAGGCGCGATCGACGAACATATGATTTCCTCCGTTCTCTGAGAGCGTCGACGTGACTTTGCAACATGGGCAGGGAATTCGGTGGTTCCCTCACAGCGAATTCGTCCCCAGATTCATCGCCGTCTTCTCGTGTCCTCTTAACTCCTCGAATTGACGTGTCCCATCCTGTGGATGCCGATCTTTGCGGTGCCCTTGCCATGATTTCATCAGGCAAATCGTCGCTGCCATCTCCGGGGGTAGGATGCTTCAGCGTTGCCGCGCCTGAGAGCGAAGGTCCCATGTCCGCCAAAGTGATCGTCCTGCGTCTTTTCACAACAGGCCCTCGTTCAGGACGAGGGTTCGACCAGGTGGGCGCTCTCGCCTCCGGTAAAGAGTTTGATGACGAGCCAGAAACTTGGTGTTTCAATATTGAGGAGTTGACGGAGTCGTCCTCCACTACTTGCCAGTCCGAAGTTTCGGGGGAATGAGAAGGTAGGCTCGTGACTTCGGGAGCGGGGCTCGCACTCGGGACCATGTCGTCGTGATCGAAAGAGGCATCGGAGACGGTTGGTTGACTTGCAGACATGTGCAACAAACTCGGCATGTCCTCCCAGGTGGGTTCGTCTGAGTCAGAATCGATGACTGCTTGGTGCGATGCTCGGTCCGAGCCATCTTCATAATACAGAGCTTTTTCTGGGGGAAAATACGTACGGTACTCGGCGGGCTCCGCCTCTCTTTCGTCGGACATCAGCGAGGTGGCAGGCGGTATGCCATCGTCAGCCTCGTGCTCTATGAGATCCTCAGGCACCACTTCGGAAGCCACTTCAGCTATCTCCGCCTCCTCCTCAAGGATCTCCGCCACAGGCTGCTCCGGAATATTGCCCGGGACTTCTGCAGGATGTATCGCCTCGGCAGCAGCGGCAGCAGCCATTACAGGCGCAATAGCCATGGCAGCATCCTGGTCGGCCTCATCTAGTGCTTCACCCTCTCCCAGCGCCAAGTTGTCGGCTGGAGCATTCTGAAAGATCCATTCGCGGAGTAGGAAGAGAGAGAGAAAGAGAAGGACGATCACGGAGGTGATGATTTGTCCAGTGAAGATGTCGGACGATAGGGTGCGGAGAAGTGGGTGCAGGCGGTTCTCTGGCAAGACAGTTGATGTGCTATTCAGCCCCTCGGTGACATTGGCAACGATAGTGCTAGTGTGATTGGTCATTGGAGGTAGACGCCCAGCGATGAACCAGGACCTGGCGGATTGCGTCAGCAAGGTAGGCACAGATCCAGCAGAACTGGCGTACAGTGCGTCCCCACTCCAGAAAAAGAATCTCCATGTCCAAACAGTGGAGTATGGCAGCATTGCCAGCCAGACAATGCCGACCAGCGCACCTCTCAAGGCAAGGAGTCCTGCTGTGGATAGCTGTACTGAAAAGCGCCGAAGGAAAAGAATAATAGGTAGTCGTTGGGGCATCTTCGAATCATACACTGGCTAATAGTTAAATGGATGCAGCAAGGTGCATTCAAAACTTCTTACCTTTGGTGAAAGCGAACTTGTGTTTGCAAACGTCGCATGTTGTCTTCTTGGAGTGCGCGAGCCATGTCGCCAGACATTCTTGGTGGATGTACCTGATGGTGCCGGAGCACTTGCAGGGGTGGAATAGCGGTTGGCTAGCGTCTCCGGGAGCAGCGCATATCCGGCATACGTCCTCATCTGTTGTTAGGAGTTAGTTCTTGATAATATCGAAGAGTGTTTAGTGTCCTTACCTGGGTCGGTGTCCATGTCAATCATATGGGTGCCTGATAGAGTATATTACACCTGCGGGTGCGTTATACCCCGTAGTGTGAATTACAGTGCTAGTGGACGTCTTAATAGACGGTCCTTGGTGGTAAAAGGAAGAAGAGGATGTGGATGAGTGATGCCCTTTAGCTAACGGCCCGCAGAGGACACGACCACAATTCAAGGACCAGCCGAGGGCGATCAGCTCGGGTCACGGCCGTCGCTCTACTGCACGCGATTCTATGAGAGGGCGGAGCCGAGCGGATGCATTTAACCCCGGCTAACTCTTTTGCCCCATTCAAACCCTCCCTTGGTGCCTCAAACGAACAAGTCACTCTAACGTTCAGTTGCTTAAAAATGTCCGACCACGATGATGAAATGATCCTTGATGAAGGTATATGCGTGCTTAATACGTTTACTTTCGGGCTCATAGCATCTCAAATCAGAGGACGGCACGGTTACGCGCAGGGGACGCGGCTTTCGAGAAGGTACGCGTTAAACGAAATATGGAGTACACCAATTAAACACGTCGTGGCAGGCACCTCTGGCGAACTCAACCGCACGGAACAACAGTTCGACAGGATAGACGTTGGGGGTGGTAGAGAGGGTGACACCGGAAAAGCCGCGCGATGTCCGCACTGTTCCCTCCCATTCCCAGAGTCCATGTTCATATCTTGCTTTAGCCGTGGAAGGATGGATCATTTTCGTCACCGGAGTTCACGAGGAGGCATCGGAAGAAGATCTACAGGACAAGTTTGCAGACTTCGGTGAGATCAAGAACTTGCACTTGAACCTGGATCGTCGGACAGGTTTTGTGAAGGTATTTCCAATATATTCCGTGTCCTTCGTCATCCCACAAATACATCTTCCAGGGCTATGCTCTGATTGAATACGACACATTCAAGGAGGCAAAATCTGCCGTTGATGCTTGCGACGGGTCAACGCTGCTGGAGCAAGAGATACACTGCGATTTCGCTTTCACGAAGCCACCACCGACTATCCCAAGGGGTCCTATGAGAGGAGGTCGAGGTGGGGGTGGCGGACCCCGTCAGCGTGGCCGGAGTCAGAGCCCGGGGCGATGAAGAGCGCTTCTTCTCGTCGAATACAGTAGACGATTCCTGTCCTACACTCACACGCCGTATCCGTGCTCTGTGGACGGTTGCACGATCCATGTAAAACGACTTTATAACATTGTAGTCTGTCCATGCAGGATGAAGGAACATGGGAATGGTGACTCGGTTGACTAGTCTCTTGAGGACAGAGTTTCTTGTTGTTTTCGCCATTCGCCACAATCGCACGGAAGCAAACGCATTCGTCCATTATTGACCGCAAAACATGGGATCTCGCCCATCGTAAACCCTTGTGCTCCTTTCCCCTTGATCTCCTATGGCTCGCTCGCGCTCACCAAGTCGCAACGATGTTGTTGCAGACTCCGAGGAGGAAAAAGAAAAGCAGTCCAAGGGCAATGAGGAGGACAAACACTCGGGTGATGAAAGGATGGAGGATGATGAGAATGGGACAGGAAACAGTGATGACGATGAGGAAGAATATGAAATCGAGGCTATTCTTGACGCTGAGATGGGCATGTTCAATCCTGTACGCCTCGCTCTGTATAGCTACAACTGTTTGTACTCACTCCTACGCGTCGACAGACCGAATGGGCGTATTTTGTCCACTGGAAAGGCTACCCTGATTCTGAGAACAGCTGGGTTTCCCAGAATGATGCTGGGTATCGCTGTCTCTGAAATACCCCGTCTGTTGATCTGACTTCATCTACAGGAACGCTATGCAATTGATCCAAGAATTCTGGAAAGCACGTCCCAAGAAGTCACAGGGGGCTAAATCCCCTTCCTCCGGGAAGAAACGGACCTCGATAACGAAACGCGAATCCAGCGTGAAGAAGGAGACGTCAGGATCGAGAGCTCGCAAATCAAGTACGGTTCTCGAGCATCCCCTGCAGTCACATTTTCTGATGACTTCTCCAGGCAACAGATACCCTAGCGAGGACTCTGACATCCAGATCATTGAGAAGGCACCGCCGAAGCTGTCGAGTACAAAGCGGCGGTTTGCCGTCGATTCCTCTCGGGCTGACAGCGATGACGATGACTCTAGGCCCTTGAAGAAGTCAAAGACGAATGGCAAACATCACGCCAGTGGGAGGGTGCCTAAAGTTGAGAAAGATGAAGGAGAGAGTGATGCGTACGGTGGAACGGCCGCTGAAGACGATGAAGCCATCGTGCTTCCAAATATGGAAGCCTACATGCACGAATCTAACTGGGAACAGCTGGTTGAACAGGTTGACACAGTGGAACAGGAGGGAGACGGCACTCTGCGTGTGTACCTTACTCTGTGAGCCGATGTTTTAATCGTGTGATGGTTGGCCGCGCTGACATGACTAACAGTGATGATGGGAAGAGAGCTTCGCATGATTCGGCGGTTGTGAGGCAGCGTTGTCCACAGAAGGTTCGTTTGCGTTCAGTGGCGTGGCACATCATCCTCACTTAAACAATGGTTACAGTTAATCACGTTCTACGAGAGCCATTTGCGCTGGAAGCCGCCACATGCATAGTTTACCATTTACATCGCGACCTAGGTTTTTCTTGTGGTGTATCCTCTATGTGCTACGGTACTGTCCCTACCCGTTCCCCTGGTGTTCATTTTATGGCAATACCATTTTGTTATCATACAGAAATCAACTAGGGTATGGTACTAAGGATCTCCGAAAACGACGTGAAAGTCATCTCATAAAAGCAGTTGTGTATAATCGGTGGATGAGACGAGCGAAATAGGGTGGGGAATTATAATTCCTGGCGGTTGAGATGATCCGAGATGCTAGACGCCACAGAAGTGAGCGAAAGAGATGCCCGATCAAGAACTGGTGGAGCGGTCTCTGCCTCAGCGGGGGACTTGATAGAATCAGTGCTCTGGGTGAACGTCTGTCCGATCTCGGATGGCACAGAATCCAAGACTAAAGAAAAACCTCTTTCAGCTTCGACAGGATTTGACACTTGCGACCCCGTAGTAACAGCGTGCTCCGAAGTAGTTGATGTAATCGACGAAGTGAATTCTGAGGCAGCATCTGAGGACAATGAGTCATAAACCAACGGCGGAGACGCAGACACTGCGTGGTGCGCCCTGGAGGCCAACTCACTCGCTGCTTTGAGGGCATGCTCGACTTCTTCCTGACTTCGTTGAAGATAGGGTAGAGCATCAGCCTGCGCCGTGACACCTGGTATGAACAAAGGAGCCTGTGCCTCTTCCTCGGCGATATCCGGCGACACCAAGGAATCAGCGTCGTCTGCACCAGAAACGGGTGCATCAGCGAATGGATGAATAAGGGCCAATCGTGCTTCAAAGCCAAGGAGGACATCTTGAATATGTGCTGTCAAGTTGGCTAGAGCCTTGTAGAGTGCTGAATCCTCGGTCAAGGACATGAGATCACTGTACGTCTTTCCGTATCTCTTCGCCTCTGCTTATCGCTTAGAATATGCGGTTTCATGGAGAATGGCCTGACGGCTCACCGTTCACCAAAGCGTGGTACCGTGTCCAGTCTTGCACAGTGACGTCTTCCAACCATGCATACTGCATCCCGAGCTCATTCTGAGCTTGGTGAGCGATATCCATAACATCCTGTCGAGCTTTGTCGACCTAATCGAGGGAAAGTGTCAAAGATACCCATCCTCTATGGTAGGTTACTCACATCGGCAGCAATACCTGCTTCAGATCCAACCCACCAATCTTTCAGCTTAGTCTCAATATCCGATGCCCAACGTTCAACTTGGGCGCGAACTTTGGTGATGACATTTAGCAACATTTCCGTCTTCTCATGGGCAGGGCGATCTTCAGCGTGCAACTCGTGAGCATATCTTCAGCCCAGTTAGCTAACGCTAAGGGTAAATTATTATGCGTGACTTACTGCTCCACTCTCTCTGCGACACGTCCAGCATCCTTCTCATAGGTGGCCACGTCTCTACCCCAATCTCCACCATTTTCTCCAAGAAGCTTGTCGCTGCTGGACTCTCTCGCTCTTTCGATTTCCCGTTGCAGCCTCTCAATGGCGCCCTGTCCGATGGCATGTAGCATTTCCTCCCACTTGGTGTGGGTATCCTCGATGCCTTTCCTCTTCTGGGCAAGTTCCTCGGCAGTCGGTGGGTGGTACTTGGGTAAAGACGTGTCGGGCACTGTGATAGGACTCTCTGCTTCTATGGGTGGGGTCGTTGACACAGTCTCTGTGCCAACTTCATCAGGCGTTTGATCTGTGAGCAAGCTGGTGAACCAGCATTCAAATTCGTCCCCCCCCGCTTGATCATCTGCTTCGGTGGATGGTTCCGACGGCGTGGTCTGTCCCAGGAGTTCGGCAGCCGCTTGTGCGTCTTGATGAAGAGCAAAAGGCTGTTCCAGTTTGCCAGCAACTGAAGCTGCAGCGGCGGCCGAGGATTCTGCCAGAGACGCGACGAATGCAGCCTGTGATTGATACGCCTCATTCAGTAATGTTGGTACAAGACCAGCATCATCAGAGGTAGCCGAAGCAACAGGCATAACGTCTGCAGCTGAAGACACCATAGATGCCGCCTTGAACATGATTTGGGCAGGTGCTTCCAATTCCGCATCGTCGGCTGGGGCTGCAGCAGCTGTGGCATGCGACATCGCGGATGATGGAGTGAAACTGTGTTCACTGAGTGACGATGACATAACTTCAGCAACAGACGCTCCATTCTCAGGCGCTGATGGTGAAGAAGTTGCAGCAGCTTCATTGACATGTGACGCAGCTTGTGGTTGTGTGTCCGAAACAGCAGATGCAGCGTCGACAACGGCGCTTGCTGCGATTGAAAACGTGCTTGAAACCGCAGAGGCTTTCGAGGCATATTGCGTTGCTGAGGCCGAAACAGCCACAAACTCATCGGTAATTACGTCGGCTGCCTCCTGGCTGGCGGTGGCAGCAGCCGCATTCGCAGTAGCATGAGCTGCGCTTGTGATGCTGGAAAGCTTGTCTTGCACAATGGAAACGTACTCGGAGGCAACCGAATGAACGGCAAAGGCGGCCGCGAGGACAGACTCCCGCGCTGCCGCAGCATAACCTGCAGCCTGGCTATGGGCAACAGACACAACAGACGCAGCCTCGGTGTGTGCTGCCGCCGCCATCGATGCTGCGGATTCGGCAGCGACGGAGAAGGTAGCATGAGCTTGTTGAATAACAGGAGATGCCTTTTCTCCTGCGCCCGCTTGAATATGCCCGACTTCCTTCATTATCATATCCCACTGCGGCTTGATGTGGGCATCGAAAACGTCGGCAATTGCTACACTTGCTTTCATTGCAAAAAACTTAATGTAGAGCCAAGCGGTATAGACATGTGGTTTGACCTTCTGATATGCTTGCAGGAGAGCAATACGAGCTCGTAAGGCGTAAGGCGTGGCAGTACGGATGGCATACTGAGTCTGAGCACGAAGGGCAAGGATCCGAGGTCCGACATGCTGACGCTGGAATGCGATGGCGTGTGTCCAGTATGGATTGACAACATCTGACACATGTGTCAGGTATGGGTCGATATGGGGTTTCGCAGCAATATGCGCCTCGGTGAACGTCTGTAAAATAAGCTCTTGCGCTTTGTCGAATACGGGAATGAGTCGGCTACGGGCGACACTTCGGGTAGAGGAGACGTAGGGAGCTACATAGTTGAATGTATTCTCCAGATGCTGAGCGTAGGGACCACCTTGTGGATGTGACAAAACAGAACTCCACGCAGACTGCAGATGTGGGCTGATGAAGGGACTGTAGATGTCGGTATGCGCCCTTGCTAAGAGGGTGCAGGGCCCAGTAATGGGTTGATTCGGCGTAGGCGATGTGATAGGGCAAAGGAATGTGTAGGCAGCGAGGGTTAAGAACGATAACCGAAGCAGGACCGATAGAAGTGAAGGTCGCACTTTAGGTCTGCCTTTTCTTTTTGGTGCTAGTTTTGTAGTCGACTTAGCAACGGCATTCGGAGATTTGGACTTGGGCGTCTGTGCAATGGTAAGAGCATGTCCTTGTGTAGCGAAGCAATAGCTCACAGCGAATGTCACATTATCGGAGAATTCTGGTCCTGCCAGAGGCTTTCTGGTCACACGAGTCGTCGGTTTGGCATCAACGAGTGGTTTCTTCTCGTCAATTTCTTCTTTTAGGCTGCCGCTTGGACCCGGCGGTGGTGGTGTTGAGACAGAAGCAGAAGATTGCCTAGACATTCTTGCCGAGGCTGCCCTGGTCACTGGCGTCTTAGAAGGTGTTTTTGGAGGCATTGCAGAAATCAAACAGTCAAGGATTGGACGTGTTGTTGGAGGAAGAGACGGAGATAGAGACGCGCTCAAGGGATTTCTCTCAAGGTAACACGCCGGAATCAACAGAAGCTGAAAAAGGGGCAAAATGATGATGAGGTCACTCGCCAGAGTTAATTCCTCCGATGACCCCAATTCGGAGGCAAAGTCGTCAGAATGGCCCTCCGGGCTCAGTTTCCCTCGATGACCCCTCCGGCGCGGTGTTAGGGATCCATTCGCGCTTCCTAAACTAAATTAAAAACGTCGTTGAGAAAAAAATAAGTTAGGGGTCCTCCTTAAGAAGACGATGAAAAACCCCTAAATGAGCAAAATATCAACCAAATTTACCATAAAAAACAGTAAGACAAAAATCCGAGAGTACACAGGAAAGAAAACATTTTTTTTTTCCCTTTTTTCCTTACTATTCTGATGCTTCTGTCAAATTTTTCTCGAAAAAATATTACAGGACCCCTAAATTTTAGATATTGGCGTGAGTGCCTTATTTTGGCTTAAGATGGCATAACGCCGCGCTGGAGGGGTCATCGAGGGAAATTGAGCCCGGAGGGCCATTCTGACGACTTTGCTTCCGAATTGGGGTCATCGGAGGAATGAACTCTCACTCGCCACGTTAGCACTGCACTGCCACAACAACGCCACCTCGGTGTTCACTACTCTCAATTCGTGTCCTGCACTTGCAGATTTGATCACACAAACACTACCATTGGCCATCCTATAAACCATCTATACCGAGATTCACGCTGTTTCTGACAACCCCCGAGAAAGTGCTTCCACATTTCGGTCCTTCCAGAAGGTGTGGAGCCTTTTCTTGGAAAACAGGGTTACGAGTTCGAAATCTATGCTCCAGTGGCAGACTCGAGCATTTGGAAGCACCCCGGCACCGGGAGTCCTCTCGAGCTGGACTGTCCCCGCCACTTGTTTTCGCTGTATGATTCTATCCTATCAACCTGGCGGCGTATATGCCTGAACGTGACCCTCCGCGCACAGGTTATGGTGCCAAAATGGAACACACGCCGAGGATCTGCTGAGGGGTCTGTGTCCTCAATGGCCAGTACGGTGACGGTCCGAATTCCACATCAGATTCCTGGATTGCCTTCCCTTAGGCCCTGCCACATGGTGAACGCGACATTAATTGCTTTTCCGTTCCGACAATGAGAGGCTTTTCTTTGCGGCGGAAATCTGTGGCTGCTTACCCAATCAAAGGACGCAAAGATAAGCAGTCTGTCCTCCACCTGAGTCCCCTACTCTGTTTTTTCCGTTATCTCGTCTGCCACGCCCAAGTGGAAGCATAAAACAAGTTCTCTGGTCTCAAAAAGGCAACTTTGCCTACTCTAAACGATCCTTCTCGATGATGAACTCTTTGGCGGCGGAAACCGAGCGGGCTGATGTGGATGAGATATCCACTAGCTATATAGCTGAACATGCACGCCCATTATGAATCGCGGCCAGAGATTCATTAGTTCTTCGGTCGTGCTAAACACAACGCTTAGTTCATCTTATGGCTGTCCTGAACTTTGCCGCCCTTCTGCTCCCTCTGCTCGCTCTGGCATGCAAAGTTGGGGCCTCTGTTCCCACCCATGGAGTTTCTCCGAGGAACGGTTTGTCACATAGCTGGACTCATTCTTAGCTGATTGACTGTCATTCTTAGGAAAGCCGCTTCCAGATCTCTATTTCGCCGATATCGATACTCTTCAATGGGGTATGGGCAATGGCACATTCACAGCTGTTGACCTGGTCAAGGTGCGTCAGAACTGCACTGACTACCATTTCCCATCTAACAGATATCAGGCATACTTGGGTCGCATTGCAGAAACGAATCCTCTTCTCCATGCGGTCATTGAGACCAACCCGATGCCATCACTCTCGCCGCTGGGCTCGACGCGGAGAGAGCTAACGGCACTGTCCGAGGGTGCGCCCACTACCATATTACAGGCTTGAGAGTGACAACATAGGTTCTCCAGACCATTGCATGGAATACCGATCATCGTCAAAGATAATGTCGGGACTTTCGACAAGATGAACTCTACTGGTATCTGAATCTGCCCCGGAACGTACTTCGTGGTGCTGAAGCTGTCGCTCTAGCTGGCTCTTATGCCCTTCTCGGCAGTAAGCTACCCCGCGACGCTACCATAGCCGCGAAGCTCAAGGCTGCTGGCGCCATTATCCTTGGCAAGTGAGTGTGGTCGAATACTAGCATGGGCTTCACTGAGCTTCTCCCCGTCCTAGGGCGAATCTTTCTCAGTGGGCTAACTATCGATCCACCAATTCGACCAATGGTACGGTGGGCACCAAAAGCCATAACATCACTCACACATGGTGACAGGCTGGACGTCGCGGGGTGGACAGACCTCGGCGGCTTGGTATCCTCTTCTCGACCCATCGGGCTCCAGTAGCGGTTCCGGAGTGTCGTCCTCCATTGGGCTGGCCGCTGCTGCCATTGGAACAGAAACTTCTGGCTCCATTATCTCTCCTTCCAATCGGAACAGTCTTACTGGAATAAAACCCGTGCGCAATTTCTCCAATTGCGATCTCAAGACCTAACGCAATTTCAGTCTGTCGGTCTAACAAGTCGCTATAACATAGTACCTATCTCTCAGACCCAAGACACGCCAGGTCCTATGACTAGGACGATGAAAGATGCGGCTTACATCTTGTCCGTCATTGCAGGTGTTGATTCGTACGACAATTACACGTCTGCCATTCCATTCTCTCACATCCCGGACTACGCCGCTGGATGTACTCCTCATGGACTCAAAGGTGCCAGGATTGGCATCCCACGCAATGCCATCAGCACGTCAGCGACTAACGGCCCTGAGATTGCAGCGTTCAACGCGTCCATCGCTGTCCTCAGAAGACTGGGTGCAATCATCACGGATTCGTACGTTTCAAGCAGCATTTCCATAGATGCAGCGCTAAATGTGCGTCCAGGGCCGACTTTCCAGATCTAGCAGGTGAGTTCAGGTGTCGTGTGGGGCTGAGGTGCAGCCAGCCGGTTTCCGGACGTGCTCTGATGTTATATTGCAGGTTACAGGAACTTCAGCGGTGCCGGAGTACGTTCGCATACTTTGCGTTGGAACATTAGTAACTGACCCGCATACAGTACTCTACCGATCCTGTGGTCGGCGCCGACTTCGTTGCGGACATCGCTAACTACTTCAATGGACTGACCTACAACCCCACCAATATCCATAACATCAACGATTTGATCAATTTCACCATGAATTACCCAGCAGAAGATTATGTTTGTCAAACGAGTTGATGCACCGGATAATTGCTGACTTGGTTAAAGCCTGACCGCAATGTCGTCACTTGGCAGCAGGACGCGAACCTCACAATTAAGATCGGGGATTCGGCGTATTACACGGGTCTGGAAGCTCAGTATTACTATGGATCTAACGCTAGTGAGTACATTATTGACATGTCATTCTGCATCACTCAGGCATCAAGATAGCCATTCTCGGTGCCCTGGAACAAAATGGGCTCGACGCGTTGATTATCCCCAGCTCGCAGTCTCCAGGGTATGCTTCAATTGCTGGTATTATGTTGTTATCAAAGGGGCGCAGTACCTTACAGCTTCTAACAGGCTACCCAATCATCAGCGTTCCCCTTGGATACTATCCGCCCACGACGAACGTGACCTGGAATTCTAGGAACACCGTGAGTAAAATTCTGTAAGACTGGGTTCATGTGCTGATACTCTTCCTAGCTCGTGTCCTTGGCTCCGAACATGCCATTTGGACTGTCGTTCTACAGTAGAAGGTTTGACGAGGCGACCATCATCAAGTTTGCGTGTGCGTTTGAGGCGGCCACAAATGCAAGCACTTTGTGGGTTCCCTGGTTTCGGCGTCCGGCTGACACATCCTTGCAGCATCGCCAAGAAAGCCTCCCTTATATCCGACCAAACGTGTACGTGAATCCCAGATGGATCACCGAGCTACTGACTTAATTTGCAGACAACTTGTCACTGTCATGTAAGAGCCCATTGTTGAACCGTAAATCAATACGAAGTAGACGTAACGTTAAACTACGGTAGAGAATGTGTTGTTTGAATAGATAGCTACTGCGGTTTCCACAGCGTCGAAATGCGACTACCAAACTTGCTCAGAATGCATCCTCGAAGCGCTCCACACACGGCGTGGTAACCGGCGTCCCTCTCCTCATCCCCAGTGTGTACTTGTCTCCTGCTGCCTCCTCATCCGCCTCCATCCGGTGTACTTGCAGCTTTTCTAGTTTGCGAGTCAAAGCCGACATCGGATTCGGTGGGCTGGGTTCGTTTGCCACCAAAACGATTGGGCTAATGGCCACGTGTTTTGGTGTGCGAGTGCTTCGGGGGGTGCGTCCGCTGCGCGGTGTGGTGGGTGACATGAAAGGCGCTTGCAAGAAACCCTCCGTCTGAAGTTTTATTTGGGGGCGTTGTTCGCGGCGCTCCATCTCTGCCGCCTGGAAAGTGGCTTGTGTGACTGTCCTCTCTGGCGATGCGGGAACAGCTGTTAAGTCAATGTCCGGAATGTTCCTTGTTGAGTCGCCCTTCAAGCAGGACCTTGCTGGCGACAATAGAGAAGCAATCGAAGGTGTGTGTGGCGATAAAGAATAGATATCGGGGTGTCTCCCGAGTCGGGGAGACCGAACCTCAAGTGCGAAGGCTGGAGAGGGAGGAGAAGCAAGTGGAGGGCTGAGCAGTGTGGGAGAAAGAATAGAAGGCAGGTGACCGTAGTAAGTCTTGATCGCGGGATCGGAAGGTGACCTGAGCTGCAGAACGCTAGGTCGAACCGTCGAAATTGTCCGGGTGAATCGAGGGGACGACAGTTTGGTAGCGGAGGTCGCCAGCGGAGAACGAGGAATGGGCATCATGTCGTGGGTTTGGGAGGGATGTGTGTCTTCAAAATTAGGGGTACTTGTCTGACCAGCAGACGAGGGATGAGATGAGAGAAGGTGATGGACGTTGTGCGCTTCATGCGAGTGGATATATGTACCCAGTTTCAGAATGGGCGCACCGCATACCTGACTGGCAACCCAGGTTTGGATGTGGAAACATGGGATGAAACACTTGAAGCACTGGCTCAAAGCGGGAGTCGCAGCAGCTGCAGCAATACCTTGATCAGCAACCTATTCAGCAACGGGTATATCTGCAGTGCAAGTCGGGGCAACTATACTGTAGAAGGCGGCGCTTTCCGGTCGGAGTGACCAATTGCAATTAATATTCACCGGACTTATATATACGTTCATTTGCACTGCATTGATGTACTACAGGGTCGCGTGCTTCAATCTCGATATTACTAACTACTCCCGCTTCACAGCCACTCGGCGCCCTCTCTCCGCCAAGCACAGGGCAGCACGTGCTCGGGAGCTAACCATCCACGATGGCCGTACCTCTTCAATCAACTTCTTACATTAATATCTTTTCTCTTCATTGCACTTGCCAAATTTTGACTCCCCTTCTCCATGCGCAGTCTGTGGCACACCCGTTCCTGTACCAACCAGAGTCTCATGCATTCGCTCCAAGGTTTGGGGCCAGGGCGCCGCGTTCTATCGTAGAAACCGTGGTCATGTCGTGTGTGTTGTCGAACTGCTTCGCAAGAACTGTCGTTGCGGCGTATCGATCATTAACGACCGGTAATTTACCTGAAAGATCCGAGTACATCGCTTTTAAGCACCTGTCGCAATGACATTGGACTTCGCGAGGTGTTCTGTTTCCAACAACTTCTTCAATCGAACATTGCTAACACCTCTATCTGGATCAACGCCCCTCAGTTCTCCGAATCCCCTGGAGTCGTCTAACGATCCATGCTGCGTCCGAGCCTCCATTCATACCGCCGCGCCAAATACACCCCTTCTTCTCCATCAGCTTCGGAAAACTTCCGGAGAACCTTCCTGTTGCTGTGCAGCCCCGGTACCCGACTGGGTACCCGGGGCCAAATTTCTAACGCTCATTATTGTGGCAAGGTCAGCAGAATGTGCTCTTTCTCTTGACTGATATCAATGACAGTTAATTTTTGCGGTTGCCAACAAGGATGTTGACCCTTTCACTGGTGACTCAACTGAGGGTGCTAGCCTCCTTACCCTAACACATTACATACAGCTTGGGGTAAAGGCGTGCAGACTCAATGGTGAGCACAAGTCCACGGCAGCTGCAATTCAAAAACCAATACAATCAACAGGGTGCCCACACGTAACCCTGCGCCATACCGCGGGCAATCGATGAGGGTCCCATCTTCCGTTAGGCCATGTGCGCTCCGTGCTTCTTGTCTTCGGTGACCGCACCACAGTTGATCGCCTCCCCACAATACCAAAAAAAAGCTTTTTTCATATCCATATTGCTTGCTTATTGCATACTTCTGGAAGATCATGTCCAAAAGTTCACATATCAACGGGTCATGCCAGGATCTGAGACCGAACTTGCTCTCACGGTCTGTTGCTGGGATGACCAGCACTATCATGGTTCTCAGCCCACATTTTCGTGCTTCTCTGCACTCCCGTTTTTTCGCCCGCTGTTGCCGTGTTTCCGTATATGAGGGGCGAGTTACCGCATTTCGGACAGTGGACAACCCCCCGGAATATCTCCCTCCTTTCGTCAGTTCCCCCTTTCTCTCGAGAGACTTTTCACATGTCAGCTGTTGCGCTACCACTTGAGGTTGCCATTCTTGTTAGTGTTATCTGCCAAGCAATCGTATATGGTGAGTATCAAGGTGTAGAGTACAACTTCAGCTTATCTTTTCTACTAGGCATGTTCTTGGTGCTTTTCGGGGCAACATGCTATGTCCTAACTCAAAAGAAGAAGACAACCACAACCAACGTGGCATTTTTGGCTACAGCATGCACCATGTTTGTCTTCATAACCATCAATTTTGCTGTCAGTTGGTCGAGGATCATGGATGCTTTGTTTCATGAGGCAAACCCCACGGCTTATCTGGGAGACTTGACTCAATGGTAATGTGCCGTTTTTTCTGGTGCATGTAACGCCGTACCTCATGATCTTACTAGGAAGGAAGTTTTCCGCACTGGAGTGTATATCGCGCTCACTGCCGTGGCCGATTCTCTCTTTGTAAGTATCGTCGTAGTTTCCCAAGATGAACTTGAAGGTTCTTAAAGTATATTCTTTGCAGATCTACCGCTTATACATGGTGTGGTCAAGGAATATTTGGATCTGCATACTGCCTATGCTACTTCTGGCAGGCAGCTTGAGTACGTTGTTTTCCATTTCGGTCTGAGACTTGTCTTATGCTGCGCAGCATCGGGTATTGGAATCGAAGTTGCTATCGCCTCTCTCAAAGGGTCTGGACTCTTCGCTAGCGGCATCGCTGCATGGGTATGTGGGTTCTTATATCATACACTTATACTGATGACGGTCACGGTATCAGGCTACTTCATTCTTCAGTATTTCCTTAGCACAAAACGTGCTGACCACCCTCCTGATTGTGTGGCGCATCTGGAGGGTCAACTTGGGTGCGGGGCATTTGGGAAGCAACAGCCTGTGGCCAGTGATCGCCGTTATCCTGGAATCAGGTGCCCTTTACAGTGCCAATTTGCTTTGCCTCCTGGCAACCTATGCGTCTGGAAGTTTCGCCCAGTACATCTGTCTTGACATCGTAAGCGTTTTCTTTTCCCCTGATGCAAATGCTGAGTTGACTAATGTCGTGTCATTTAGCTTGTCCCCAACATCGTAAGCTGTCTATCCTCTTCTCCACTGCGCTTTCATTTCTGAGACAAGTTCCGTAGGGATGCACCTTTTGCCTCATCATTGTCCGCGTTGGTCTGGGGCTCAGCAAGAGCGGGTCCCAGCAGGCACCAACGCAGGAAATTGGCCGTGCCACAATCGGAGGCACAAGTGCACGCTACCCCATGCGCAAGATTAACATCAATGTGGCACGCACAGTGGATGTAGACCAGGAAGATGTGGACATCGAACGCGGTGGGAAGGAAGGATCTGAAACGGATGTGGACGTCTTCGACAAATCGCAGAACATGTCCTATGAGCAGATGCACGGGTCCAACGCGTTCTAGATAGTACTGTCTGTGGCGTCTGAACTTTCTTTTTTTGTTTCGTTCGCTGTAGCCTCGGAGAGTCTGAGGACTTTTATTCATTTGCAAATATTAAGATTGCTCGCGAGAGAGGAAATTAGAGGAGTGTATTAGTTTGGTGGTGCATGTGATTGCTGTTGCGTGGTAACAAAGAACCAAGGGTGAAGGTTTGTGGAGGGCAATACTGTGTTGTCAGCTTAAACTTTGAGGCCGAGAGAAGCGGGGAAGATATGAATTGACATTCTAGAGGAGGTCAGTGTATTCATAGGAACACTGCGTCAATCAGGCAAGTGACATGTTATTAATTTCACGGTGCGAACGTGGACCCTCAGGCGGCAGCGCCCCAGGCACCCACCACAGCTTCCCATCCTACCCTCATCAATCCGTTCTCATAATCTCGACGTACTCTCCAACGGGAGTTTCGAATCGACGTGCACGCACCACCCTGTCAAATGTTAACTCCACCCTTGCCGATTCCATTTGACGGGGAGGCGAAGCACGACCCCGATGATCGGCGCTTCTCGATCGAGCATGCCCTCGAGTTGGAGCGTCAGCTCGATGCAGAGGATGAAGATCAGGGGGAGGTCCCAAACACCAAACCGGTTGTACCAACAGTCCTAGATCCAGATGTACTCGCAAGCATAGTGATCCAACAACGCACTGCGCTCGCCGAACTCACAGATGAACGAGACGAATTGGAGAGAGCATTGGGGAAAGCACACGTCGTTCAAAGTGAGCTGCATTCACAGCTCAGTCAAGTCATGGAAATGTTGGAATTAGAGAGGCAAAGGGTCTCAACAATAACACTGGAGTTGGGTGCTGCGAGGGAGAAGGCAACGGATGATGCCGAGTCAATCACGATGCTGCGATCCAAGGTGGAAGAGTCAAGACGAGGCGTTATGAGATTGCAGTCGGAGAGAGAAAGTCGACGCGTCAGTCAATTCCAACCATTACAACTCGATCTATCGTCTGCGAGTACCACCGGGACTTCCCGAACCCCAGGCTTTTCAACATTCTCGAAGCGGGCTTCCGTAATCTCTACGTCGTCTACGCCTCGCAGCCCCACTTTCATGGGTCATCGCCGCGTATCCTCCCTCTCCGATCCTGGCATAACGCCTGATGCATCTGATTACTCGTCATTCCCTCCTTTCCTTGTACAAACTCCTAGCGACCCACCTACATCCTCTATCCCAAAGACGGGTGGGCTGTCACCTCCATCGTCGATCTTACCATCCCTGTCCCCGCCCGTCTTGATTTCGGAAGAAGAACTCGCTTCTCTGCGAGCAGAACTGAAAACTGTACGACGCGAACTATCTCAAACAAAAGAGGCGAAGGAGGCGAGCGACATCGTCCTCCGTGCACTACGGGAGATGATGGGCCTCGATCCCGAGTCCAAGGAGTTACCGAACCCCGAACAAATCGAGCCACTGAAGGGCCTAAGTCTACCCCCATTGCCAACGGACGAATTAAACGAAGATGCAGAATCTCTTCTGAAGCCGTCGCCGTCCGCAGAGAAAAAGTCCGCGTCCGGGTGGGGTCTCAGGCTGTGGCGAAGTACCGCATCGCCTGTTATGAAGCCAGCATCTCCAGATCCATCGCTGCAAGGAGATACTTCATCTGTGGTGACCTTGGATGCATCTGTGAGAGACAGCATATCCAGCTCGCAGCACGTTGAGGCCCCGGTAAATTCACAAACAATACCGCGGTCCTCATCTCCAATTCCGCCCTTACCACCACGACAACCCTTATTCAAAGGCTTCAATATTTTCACGACTCCCACCGCACCTCCCGTTCCAGAGAAAGACCTGGTGTTGCCACCTCAACTGACGCAAATATTACAAGAATTGACTGTGGATGACCTTGTTCAAGAGGAGCTTCATATCACTCAGTCGCGGCCTGGTGATTTGCACGTTACGACCGATGTCGGTGCAAGTGTGGCAACGCCCGACCTTCAAGTGCAGCCGCCCACGGCGGTATGATGCCCTAAACACTCACATGAATTCACTTTCTTATTAATCACGATGTACTATCATAACTTCATTCTATATAATCCATATGTGTACATCACCGTGGCTACACGAGGTTGAGCGTGTGGCTCAGTGTCGAGCACTGCAGTGGAATGATCGCGCGTCGCACACGATGGGCGCCTAGGTACTTCTCTCTGTGTAACAATCATGCACGCCCTGCGCACAGCAAAAGTGCTATTACAAACCAAAGCGCGGCCCATACCCCGACCACCCGTATGCCGTTATTACCGCCCTAACCCTATACGATTCTATCAAACAAATCCAGACGAACCGAAACTATCGCTGACCTTCACATGCACGGCGCCCGGCTGTGATGGACACAGGTCGTCCCACGTCTTCTCCAAAAGGTCATATGAGCATGGTGTTGTATTGGTTGAATGTCCAGGTTGTCATAACCGGTATGTATGCATTAGATTTCATGTGGTGTGTGGACTAACCACAGATTTTAGACATTTGATAGCAGACCATCTGGGTTGGTTCAAGGACGGGACCGAAGGAGGCAAGAATAAGACATTGGAAGAGATCATGGCTGCAAAGGGCGTACCTGTCACTCGTGGACAGATTGTGGAGAAGGGAACATTCGAGTTCAATGGAACACAGGCAGAGGATGGAGGTGAGACGAAGAGCTCATGATGCATTGTATCCATATTCTAAATCTACATGATACATTTGCGCCCCTTTCACTCCTTCACTGGCTCTGGCAGCGGTGGGACGAGACCATGCTTAGCAAGCAGTTCCTCAAGTTCACCATTTTGATGCACTAGTTGAAGGTTAGTGTATGCTTCATGCAAGCAGAACGTGTCGGGCTTACTGCTGAGCACAATGTCACAACCGCCAACGAATTCACCATCCACGTACAGCTGAGGAATGGTTGGCCATTCGCTGCAATATAGTCTTAGGACACAACTGGGGTACGGAAAGATTGGACGCACGAGTACTCCTTTATGCCATTTCTCAAATCCTCATCCTGCAGCACGTTGAAACTCTTAATCTTCTCCTGGGGAACACCCTGGACGTCGAGTATCTGGCACACTGCACGGGAGAACCCGCACTGCGGCTGATCTAGAGTACCCTTCATGAACAAGACAAGTGGATACTTGTGAACAGCCTGCTCACGAATCAGAGATCAATCTCTGGTCAAAAAGCGGATACCTACATCGTCGATTGCCTTCCTATGGTCCTCTGACAGGAAACGACGGCAGAAGGAAGGGTTTGCAAGGAAGGTGGACGCCAAAGTTCGGCGTGGTGCCAACTAGATGAATATCAGCATCACAACTAATTCATTTCCAACATACGCACTGCAATGCGTGCTGCTGTCCGAAAAGACATTATTGTGAAAAGGCTCACAACGTGTTCAATGGACGCAGGGTCGCCAATTGAAATACTAACAAAGAGTGGACCCTTAGTCAGCGCGCTTTGCTGGACGCGTCACACGCCACCATTGCCTGTCAGTGGAAAAAAAAACATGCACTCAACTTTTTGCTCTGTCTCTCTCACCTCCATCTCCCTCAACCAGGTATGCATTTATTCAGCATTTTATCTCTCTCTTTCCGGATGAACACCTTAGATGACGAGTCCGACGTCGCACACGCACGGTCGGTCATCGACTGTGCGGACGTTTGACGAGACTCTTTTCAAATACCATTCATGCTTTTCTGATCTCTCATTCTCGAATCACGTTTTGAGCACACGCTTACAATGACCCAAGATATTGCGATGTCATCCGACGAAGACTGGTCCGACTCCGATTCGGAGGCTGAAAACGAGCAGCGAGGAGAGGTACCCACGTCCGTGCTGTTGGGTGTGCCCGACGGACCCCTCAATTCCGCATACGACGACGCAGACCCCACAGTGTCTCGCGCCGGTGGGCATCCTGTATGTGCTCTCCCCGTCAGTCCCACCAACCACCTTAGCTTAGAAAATAATACAGCCTTTTTTGGGTTTAAGCCACTACCCTTCCCCAGAAGTAACCCTGTGCAAACAATGCAACAACCCCATGAACATGCTTGTCAGCGTATTCTGTCCGTTCGAGGGGTCGTCCAATGACCGGGTGCTATACGTGTGGGCTTGTTCCCGGGCAGGATGTCAAAGAAAGAGCGGCAGGTAGGTAAGTCCTGTTGCTCCACACTTCGTTTTCATTACCAATGCGCCGTCAGCGTGCGTGCATATCGATCATTACGCTACAATTCAAAATATGCTCGCCAACTGGAACGACAGCAAGCACGACAGGCCTCATCCGGCACTACTGTCGATAAACCCAAACCTAATGCGATAGCGAATCCCTTTTCCGTATGTATACCTCCCAATAACCTTGAGCGCTTCGCTCACTGTTTACCAGAGCCCCACCACAGTTTCCGAGCACGTGTCTGGCACCGGTGGATTGGGGGACATCTTGTTTGGCACAGCTGCTTCTCCAGAAGACTCCTCCACTCGCGATAGTCAACCAGAATCTGAAGCCTGGACGGATGATGTCAATGAAGATGACGATGATGATGATGAAGAAAAGAGTGAGGACAACCAATCCTCGGTTACGGGCGCTACGGCACCACCCGCCTGTGCCGAAGGCCAGCCAGATCCCGGTGAGTCCCGTCTCCGCTCGGCGTTGCTTCCTGGCTGAATGCACCTCGTAGCTTGGTTATCCCAGCCTGCGTATCGCGCCTTTTATATCTCAACTGTGGATGAATATATAGCCCCCAAGCCCAGTATCTCAGTTTCTAAACAAGCTTTCAGTGAGGCGCGGCCAACGGATGGTGCTGGAGGTGCAACATGGGGCAAAGAACTTTATGAAGTCATGCAGAAGGTCGACAATACATTCGAAAGCTTTGTCGCCCGGGTTCAGGAAGAGGCTGAACAAGTCCTTAGGTCGGTTGCTGTACCACTTCATGCGGAACTTACTAATTAATTGTCTTTTAGATATGAGTTGTCGGGCACGCCGCTGTCGTTCTCGTCTCGCGATGCAGTTTATCGACAATTATTCCCAATTCAGGCGATTTCTCCTGGCACAGCTTTTGCAGTCAATGCTCCTCTAGCGCCAACCAAGCACGCGTACGAGCCTTCTGCAATAGAACCTTGTCCACGATGCGGCGGTCCGAGGGTCTTCGAATGTCAAGTTATGCCGAATCTCATAAATCTGTTGCGACCAGCCGAATCCTCCAGCAGCAAGAAGAGACCGACCCTGGAAGAACGACAAGCCGAGCTCGACGCGCTGTTAAAGGGCGGCTCCGATGGCATGGAATGGGGTACCATCATGATCTTCAGCTGTCTGGCCGATTGCTGTCAGAACGTGGATCGTACGCCGTCTAGCGAGTTATGGGCTGAGGAGCTTGTCCTTGTGCAGTGGGATGCATGAGCGATTTCTTACCACCAACTTCTACTTCTCTGTCTTGTAACTTATTGCAATGGAGAGCTCTTTCTTCATTCAGCTCGATCAGACTACCTGCAACATCTGTGACGCGCCACCTCTTCACCGAATATTGCCTGGCCACCATCGCCCGTCAACAATAGAAATGGCGTGTTTTATTGTTGTTGATGCACTGCCCAGTTCGGTGCGTCTGTGGGCAAGTAACTTTCGAAAGGATCCGCTCGAGGCGAGTATCCCTGCCATCTCATTCTGCGCGCCGCCTCACAGAATGTTGACTTTCGTTTCTTCGTGTTCTCTTGCCCCAGCAGTTTGCTCCCCCACCTTCACCCGGTGAGACAGTGATTGTAGGTTGTCAGGCGCACGTTCTTCCATTCAATTAATGTATCGCCTCTCATATTGATAGACTCTCAGGGCCTGCGACTCGGGCATGGTGGTCGAAATAGAGAAGCCCGACTGGACCATGCATTTTTGTGTAAGCCGATTAGCAAGCTGGGCAGTTGGGGACACCCTTGCAGTGAGTGATTTGAACTGACCGGTGCGGCACGCATATGCTGACGCTACAACTACTTATAGACGACCAGTCTCCACAGCTGACGTCTATTCTGAAACTCCAGACAAACCTATGCCGTTGAACTTGTTTTTTATTGCTGCGGGGTTGATCGCGTGCCTGCTCATTCTCCGACGTCGGGCCGATGCGTCTCCACCCGGACCTCGCGGCGTACCGCTGCTTGGCTCAGCCCTAGAGCTCCCGTCAAAGTTCCCCTTTCGCAAATTCAATGAATGGAGCAAGCTGTACGATGGTTGGTTTGTGTTTTCCGCAATCGGTCAAAAGTTTCTGGTCATCACCAACTACGACATCGCTGTCGATATCTTGGAAAAGATGGGCACGCAGACAGCTGATAGACCAACAGTTCCAATGGTCTGCCACTCTCCTGATCTATATTGCTCCTCGACTTAAGGAAGACCTAGGCTATCTATATGGCCCGACATATAGCATTTACTCTCGAGAACTATGGTGATCGGTGAGAATTGCGGCTGTTCGCATCATTGATCGCTTTAACCGTCATAACTAGGTGGCGGCGATGCCGACGGTTGGCCCATGAAAACTTCAACATCCGTGCGCTTGACCAGTACCACGGTATCTATGAGCTTGGAACAGCCAAGCTACTTCGGCAACTTTCCAACATCGATCCATTGAAAGTTCCAGAGGAACTACTGCAGTTCAGCGGAACCTTGACCTACGAAGCTATGTATGGTCCCGAATCAGGCGGAGAAAACGTTAAACAGAACATTCGCAAAGTGTGGGAAATGGCCGAGACACTTGGAGATGCCATGTCTCCTGCTAAGTTCATCATCAACCTGATTCCCGCACTTGGAATGCTGCCGGAACGCATCAGCCCGTGGAAGCAGTACGGAACTCGGTATTTCAATGAACACGACAGGTTCTTGATGGAGATGGCTCAGCCTGGGCTCACCGGACAGGTACAGAGCACTGCTTCTCGGCACCAGTTTGTTGCACTCTCTGACTAGTACCAGAGTGATTCGGGATTCGTGGCCAGCTGCATGCGTATGCGTGACAGGACAGAGGGAATTTCGGACGCGGAGATCGCATGGACATCCTTTGCTCTCTAGTAAGTCGCACCCTGTCCTTATGACATTCGCTCATGTGTTTCATAGCGGTGCAGGCGTCGAGACTGTACGAAATCCTTGTAGTATATTGGAAAACGTGTCTGACTGTGGGATAGACGCCTTATTCTCCACATTGGTTCATCATGGCGATGGTTCTGTTTCCTGAAGCATATCAACGGGGCGCAAGATGAAGTCCGCACGGTTGCAGGAGACAGTCCCCCCACGTTTGAACATCGGAGCAAGATGCCGTATGTTATGGCAGTCATGAAAGAAGTTCTTCGATGGAGACCCGTACTTCCGGCTGGTGAGTCATAAGATACTGCAGCAGAACAGAGCTGAGTAGTATTCACCAGCTCTTCCTCACACGGCGTCCCAAGTCCGTTTCCACAAAGGAGGGACTGCTTGATTCTGACCTGTCATGTTCAGGACTTCCATTACAATGGATATCGCATCGAGAAAGGGACATATATCTTTTATAATCAATGGTGAAACAGTTCACATGGTCCTGAATTATCGTGGACTGACAAATACAGGAACATGTGCCGAGATCCAGCGGTTTACCCGGACTATGACGTCTTTAGGCCAGAAAGATTCTTAGCGGACCCTCCTGCTCCAGACCCTCCTGTATTCGGTTTCGGTCGTCGAATCTGCCCTGGTAGAAATTTCGCTCGAGATCTGTTGTTTTTGGCTATATCGAACTTGTTATGGGCCTATCATTTCGAGAAAGCCACAGATGCAGACGGTAAAACGATTACCCCTTCACCTGAAGATATCGACGGGAACATCCTTTTGTAAGTGCATCACTTTGATACCGTTTGTTACACTAATTTGCGCGGTAGGCATCCTAAGCCGTTCCAGTTCATCATGACGCCTCGACGAGAGATTCCCCAGTGACCACACATTTATCTCACGTTGTTTTTGGATGGGCTTGACTATGTCACATGTATTCAGTGCGCAATTCGTGTTCCCTCCTCCAATCTACACCCTTGCGTGAACGGTTCCTTCACCACCAACCTGGACAACTGCCAAAATTCCTTCGGAACTCAGATGCCTCGGCTCACTCCCCTCGATCACGACGACCTGGAACGGCACAGCGCTACAGGTCTTCACCGTTGCCATTGACGCACCAACCGCTACGCAATCCTGATCCTACCTTGAATTAAAAATGTCATCAACAACCGTCACACCCTTGTCGATGCACTGATCAGTTGCATGAGTGAGCATAGGCGCTTTTTCGCCCGTCCCTACGTTATGGACGTAGGAATTGCCCAGCTTATGCGGGTGCATGCAGACGCTCCCCTCCTATTGCAACAACCTACTCCATCAATCTGCTTGACGTGGCGTGCCTCGTCCTTCCTCTCTCAGTCCGCAGTGCAGCGCATTATAGAAACGTACAGTGAAGAAGCCAAGAAAGCTGTTGCTTCTAGTTCTGATTGGATGGGTACCAAAACCCTGATTGAGGAAACGCTATGGAAACGTGTTGCTTTGATCCCGTCCATTTTCCCTTGGCATCACGTAAGGGTTCAGGGCTCGTGTACTTCTGCACAGCTAAACGATCGAATTTCGGCTAGGTGCCAGGAATTTCCCTTGCCTAAATAAATTTGTGCCCCTTCACACGATGCAATTCAAAGGGTTGCCAGGATTCTTCAATTTTAAGCACCTGTCACATGTTACGCTTGTCAGGGCTGGATAGCATTAATTCATTCTACGAATTCACCAGACTTGGGCGTTTCGGGGAAGCTCGATCATTCTTCTCCCGTGTAAGCATGTGTAAGTGCAATTGACGGTGCTGTGCTGGCGTGAAGTACTTACTGCCACCAATTTGGACTGGCCGATACCGCGACCGCATTCATGCCGGCCCAGAAACTACTTAAAGGCAACATACATAGCTGCGCACCAGAATGTCCCCTCCAGAATACACAGTTAGACTATGGAGTTGAACTCTCTTTACCTTGCCGCCGGGTTGTTTGCCTGCCTGCTGCTCATTCTCCGGCGTCCGGCCGTGTCCTCCCCCCCTGGACCTCGCGGACTACCGCTCCTCGGCTCTGCCCTCGAACTGCCGTCAAAGTTCGTCTTCCGCAAGTTCGATGAATGGAGCAAGCTCTACGATGGTTGGTTCATGCTTTCCGCTGTCGGCCAGAAGTTCCTGGTCATCACCCGCACTGACATTGCTGTCGATATCCTGGACAAGATGAGCTTGCAGACAGCCGACAGACCAGCACTTCCAATGGTCTGATCTCCCAATCTGTATGTTGTCATTCTCACACGAAAACAGGCTATCTATATGCTGCGACATATGGCTTTCTCACTGGATAACTATGGTGATCGGTAAGAACTGTGCCTGTACGTGCCACTTGTTTTGTTCACCCTACATAAACAGCTGGCGACGATGCCGGCGCTTGGCCCATGAAAACTTCAACGTTCGCGCACTTGAACAGTACCGCGGTGTCTATGAGCTTGCGACAGCGAAGTTACTTAGACAGCTCTCCAACATCGATCCATTGAAAATTCCAGATGAGCTCATGCAGTTCAGTGGAGCCTTGACCTACGAAGCTATGTATGGCCCTGGGTCAGGCGGAGCAAACGTCAAACAGAACATTCACAAAGTATGGGAAATGCTAGAAGTGCTTGGAGATGCAATGTCCCCGGCCACGTTCATCATTAACTTGTTTCCCGTGCTTGGCATTCTGCCGGAAAGCATCAGTCCGTGGAAGCAGTTTGGAACCCGATACTTCAATGAGCACGATAAGTTGTTAAAGGAGATGGCTCAGCCTGGGCTCACCGGACAGGTACAGAGCACTGCTTCTCGGCACCAGTTTGTTGCACTCTCTGACTAGTACCAGAGTGATTCGGGATTCGTGGCCAGCTGCATGCGTATGCGAGACAGGACAGAGGGAATTTCGGACGCGGAGATCGCATGGACATCCTTTGCTCTCTAGTAAGTTGTACGCTATCCTTGTGACATTCGCTCATGTGTTTCATAGTGGTGCAGGCGTCGAGACTGTACGAAATTCTTGTAGTATTATTGGAAAACGTGTCTGACTGTGGGATAGACGCCTTATTCTCTACATTGGTTCATCATGGCGATGGTTCTGTTTCCTGAAGCATATCAACGGGCGCAAGACGAAGTCCGCGCGGTTGCAGGAGACAGTCCTCCGACGTTTGAACACAGGATCAAGATGCCGTATGTCATGGCAGTCATGAAAGAAGTTCTTCGATGGAGACCTGTGCTTCCGGCTGGTAAGTCATAAGATACTGTAGCAGAACAGAGCTGAGCAGTATTCACCAGCCCTCCCACACATGGCCTCAGAGGTTAGGTCCTATCAACAAGAAACCGCCTGACACTGACCTGTCATGTCCAGGACTTCGAATACAAGGGATATCGCGTCCAGAAGGGCACGTATATCTTTTACAATCAATGGTGAAACAGTTCACGTGGTCCTGAATTATTGTGGACTGACAAATACAGGAACATGTGCCGAGATCCAGCGGTTTACCCGGACTATGACGTCTTTAGGCCAGAAAGATTCTTAGCGGACCCTCCTGCTCCAGACCCTCCTGTATTCGGTTTCGGTCGTCGAATCTGCCCTGGTAGAAATTTCGCTCGAGATCTGTTGTTTTTGGCTATATCGAACTTGTTATGGGCCTATCATTTCGAGAAAGCCACAGATGCAGACGGTAAAACGATTACCCCTTCACCTGAAGATATCGACGGGAACATCCTTTTGTAAGTGCATTCCATTAATACCGTTCGTCACACTAATCCGCGCTACAGGCATCCTAAGCCATTCCAGTTCGTCATGACACCTCAACGAGAGATTCCCAAGTGAGATACATTCTTTTCCCGTTGTTTTCAAACGGATAGGTGCAACTTGGATTGGTCAGATGTATTAAATGCGTATTGTGTTCCTCCATCTATTCTACATCCTGCACACCCGTGTACGCGGGTAACTTCTCACATGCCTGCGCCCAATCGATTCTCCCATCAACAAGATCAATGACGAGCGAGATGACTTCCTCAGTCTTACCGATACGCTGATCGGTTGTGTCACGCTCACGAAGGGTGAGAGTGCCATTTTGCACGGCTGTGGTGCGATCAATACAGACTCATCAGAGGGGAGAGTCACATACTGGCAAAGTCGACTGTGATGCCGAAAGGCGTGCCAAGCTCGTCGTTACGAGAATACCGCTTGCCGATCGACGCGCTGGAGTCGTCCACGCGGCAGGCCACACCAGCCTTTCTTAATTGAGCAGCTGTATCGTGCGTCAGAACATGAAGGACACTACAGCGAAGACACCTTACAAATCTGACGGATGAAAGGCGTGAACACCTCATTGGAGCTGATCGGCACGATCAGAGCCTTGATAGGGGCAACGACGGAGGGAAGAGAGAGGACACCGCGGGCCTCGTCGGATTCTCTGCACCAGAAGACGTGTTCGAGAAGGGAGTAGAGGATCCGGCCAAGGCCGAATGAGGGCTCGATGACGTTCGGCGTGAATTCGCGCACTAGACAGACAGACAACTTAGCAGGAATTCATGAGGAGACTTTCACTACGCACCGGTCTCCTTAAACGTCTTCTTCTGGATAGTCAAAAGGTCGGACGTGATCTCAAACTCGCGACCGTCATCGAGCTTCAACTTGGTCGGGCTGGTCATATTTCAGGATGCTGTCAAACAGTGTTGGGAAGATACGCACCCCTTCACCAACTCCCCGTTCAAAAGGACAAGACGTGGCTCATCTAGCGCCATAATGGCGTCCTCAACGGCCTTTGCGTCCTTCTTGAACCTCGGACCAAACAATTTCTTCTCAATCTCCGCCGTCCACCGCTCGACGATGATCGGATCTGGCAGAGCCTGCCTGACGACGAGTTTCTGGCCGGTCTTCTTCGAGTGCACGGAGAGGTCATATGCGGACCGGTCCGCACACCCAACACACTCGATCCACCCGTAGCTCGTGTGGATCTCGGCATCCCAGCAGTCTGCGGCGTAGTGCGCCATTTCGTTCTTCATGTGCTGGCGGAAACGGAGACGGGCGGGGTTGATACCGATACGAGTGAGGAAGAGGTAGATACGGCCGAGGAAGTAGCCTAGCGTTTCGTTGTCCACGATCTTCTGAGCGACTGCCTCACCGATCGTCATCTTGATGATCTCTGTGCGCCCACTTTCCTGCACACCCTTGGGCAGGAAACCGACAACGATGTCTTTGGCCTCGTCGAACCTCGCATGGCGCTTATCAAGCGGGTCGACAAAGTGCTCAATCTCAGCCATCGTGAACTCGCGAACTCGAAGCAGCCCGGCCCGAGGGGAGATCTCGTTCCTGAAGCTCCTCCCAATCTGAGCAGAAGCGAATGGCACGCGACCGTAGTTGAACTCCAGCAAACGGGAAAAGTTGACAAAGTGGCCCTGGGCAGTTTCGGGCCGGAGGTAGCCCTTGATCTGCCCGGTAGGACCGATAGACGATTCGAACATGAGGTTGAACTCGACTGGCTCGCCAACTTCGTTTCCCGTGTCGGGGTTGAGGATAGATTGGGTGCGGATGAGCTCACCCAGCTGAGCCCCGGTGTAGTTGTCGATCTGCGCCAGGGTGCTCTCATACAGCGCTACGACGTCGTCTGGGAGCTGAACAGCAACGCTCTTCATGTTCTTCTTGGGTTTCTTCTTCTTATCCGCGTCCGTTACAGGAGCGACTTGCGCCTTCAGCCCACGAGCCTCCTTGTCCCCCTTCAGGCGAGCTTCGAGTACTCCCTCTACGAGGTGGTCCGCGCGGAGGACGTCACCAGTCTTGACGTCCTTGACCATCCAGTCCGTGAACTTGTCCACGTGGCCGGAAGTCTTGAGCACATCGGAGACTGTCATGATCGTCGTGTCTAGCTCGAGCATCTCTTCCTCGATGATAAAGTGCTTGCGCCAGAACTCGATGATATTCGCTTGAAGGGCAGATCCAGGCGGGCCATAGTCGTACAACCCAGCGACACCTGTTCAAATCAGCACCTACCACAGCAGCCTGCCTCTTACGCTTACCGCCATATATCTCGAACGCGCGCGTGTAGAAGAAGCGTTTTGCAAGCAAGCCCTCTAGTGTTTCCCTATTGAACGGATGCGCATCTTTCTTGACGCTCGTGGTAGGAACAGAAGTAGCCATCCTAATAAAGCAGCCCCTTTGTCTAGTAGGTTGGATAAGACGATGTACAGCTGGTGGAAGATGTGCGAGAGAGAGGACTCTCATGCACTTTTATGTTTGAGCTGCACTTTCTCTTGTGCGTCTCTTCGAAATTTCATGACTCGGGCGCCACCATCCCGGAGCCGAGAGTCAACCAAACATCATCTCCGGCTTAGGGGTCTCTGCTCATCGTTTCCGCACTCTGCTCGCTGTCAACGACGACGACGACGACATGACTCGCTCACACAGCAAGAACAACACCGCCTCGTCTGTATTCTCCTATGCCGAATATAAGAAACTCGACTATGGTACAAAACGCCAGCGGCTAGGAGTGGACAGCATGCGCCCCTTCTCCGCATGCTCGCTCTGCCTTTCTCGGGCAAGGGATCCTGTCTGCTGTTCGCAGGGGCACCTGTATTGTAGGGAATGTGTGCTGGAGGATTTGGTAGCGCAGAAGAAGGAGATGAAGCGCTGGGAGAAGAGAGTAGGGGAGTGGGAGAGGGAGGAAGAGGCTGAGAGGCTGCGAGCACGCGAAAGGGCTAGGGAGAGAGTGGTGAGGGAGTTTGAGATGAGTCAAGTGGGCATTGGTGGGAGTAAAACTGCTAATCCAGTGTCTGATGGTGCCGAACGTTCGTGATCGTTCGATGACTGGTTGAGGTACTTACGCTCTTGTAGCTAGAGGCACTAAACGGAAATTCGACCTCTCCAGCACAGACGTAGAGCACATGGCTGCCGAAGCCGAAGCCGCCGCTCTAAAGCAAATAGAAGCAGAGCAATCCGAGGCTCGACGGCCGAAGCTGCCCGACTTTTGGCTGCCTTCGCTTACGCCTGATGCGCCTGTTGGGCCGCTGAGGGAGATTAAGATGGAGACGATGTGTCGTGCTGGGATGCCGGGGCATCGGATGACTCTTAAGGGGCTTATTCCGGTCCTGTTTACTGTTGAGCGGGTGGCCGACGGGAATGGGAGTGGGGGTAGCACTGGAAACGGGAATGGGGAGGGGAAGAGCAAGGCCGAAGACGTATACATCTGCCCGTCATGCAAGAAGACACTTGGTGCATCATCCCAAGCAAGCGTGGTCAAATCTTGCGGCCACGTCATCTGTAAGACGTGTATTTCCGAGCTCGTTCGCCCCTCTGGGCAGTGTGTGGTGTGCGAGGGCAAGGCGGGGGAGAAGGGGGTGGTGATGCTTAATCGTGAGGGGACGGGGTACGCTGCTGGTGGAAGAGCGGAGACGAGTGTGAAGGGTATAGCTTTCCAGGGTTGATTGTTACTGATAATGATTGTATTTGTTTTCAATGGGTTGATGTGATCATTGTTGATTTCTTGTTAGGGAGTTCATTCGTAAGCAAGAAGTATTCCAAAAAGAAGTACTCCTCGACTAGTAATGACAACCCAACTGCATGGAATGCCAATAGACCACATTCTCTTTCCTCTCAACCAGTAACGTTTCCAATATTTCAATGATTTTAATTTATTGTCTAATTGTTTATCATTGGATAAAAAGTACGCACGTTCTTCGGTTCGTTGTGATTCCGTCCATTTTTCCGTTCTATCAAGTTGACGTCCCCATATGTAGTTCATACCGCCCTATCTCGCTCCCTATGTTCACACTAATGCACGCTCTAACCTCTCCTTCTTCAACCACCACCACCACCGTCTACACGACATCATGAATTCCTCCTACACATCCTCTTCACAGAACTCGGAAATGCGCACTCCCCACTTCATCGCCGCCGCCAAAGCCCAGCTTCGGCGCCCAGCTGTGCAGGCGCGCATCTCAAGCGCCAAATCCCTCTTTTCCGCTACGAAAGACTATCTGGCCCAGAAAGACTACCGGGCGGCATACGCTGACGTCAGTGGGAGAATGAAGAGTGCGGTGAGCAGCGCTAGAGATTTGGCGGGTCAGTTGGCGAGGGACGACGACGCACCAGAGAACGAGTCCGTTCAGGGGTGGGTGGTCAGGAAGCGTCAAACGTGGGATGAGTGGACGAGAGACAGGAGGCGCAGGAGGCAGGAGGAGCTCAGGGGTACTGAGCGAGTTTGGCTCTTCCCCGGTTGGGCTGCTCGGTGCACTTCTCACAGCAGGACGACTGCGAGCCAGAAGAAGGATGCCCAAGAACCTTTCGATGTCGAGCTCAAGGTCTCTGGGTATTTTCTGTCCATGCGACCCCCAGAGCAGGCAACAAGAGCCCAGCGCGCGTTCATGCGCCTCGCACGGTCTTTCTCTTCCCTCCCCCGCCTGCCGACCCCAGGCAGCGGATCAGGGAGCGAGAGCGCAAGCCTGAGGAGCTTCGAGGGCGGCAGTACCCCCCCAAGCGGAACGGCGAGTCCGCTCATGTCGCCTCTCTTAAGGGCGATCATCTCCGAAGAACCGGAGGATGCGGACTTGATCAACCTCGATTCCCCTGCCGGAGCGAGCAAGGACGACGGAGGGTACTTTACGAGCAACAACTGGGTCGGGAAGGATCCCCTCCCTAGCCCAAGTCAGGAGCCTCTCGAGTTGGACTTACTTACTCCTACTCCCACTTCTGCTGGTGCACTAGTCCTAGAGCACGAGAATGATAAGACGACGCCGAGCATCTCACTCTCCCCTGTCGACTACTCCGAACGTACCGCTCCCCCACCCATCCCTCTAAAGCCTGCCTCGCTGTCCTCCATCCCCTCTCTCTCCCTTCCCAAACCACTCAATCCCACCCCAGTCCACCACGCACACCACGTCCACTCCCCCCGCGCGCCCTCGCCCCTCTCCTCTCCCTCCCTCGGCCCTACCCGTTCCCCCCGCCTTGGCCCACACCGCCAGCCATCACCAAGCCTCGGCCCCACACGGAAATCTACGAGTATATCAAGCGCCTCCTTCGCCGACCTCCCCTCTAGCGAACTGCGTACCCTCCACGCGAACCTTGAAGCCCGCCTGCAGCCCTTCTGGGCCAGCTCGCTCTCCTTGCGCAAAGTCAAACTCACCATTTCACTTCCGCCTCCTCCCCCAGCAACAGAAAAGTCCGACTCCCCCAGCACGGTACTCGCCAATCTCTCCTCCTCCAAAGCACCTATAAAGCTGCTCGAAAAGGAAGTGACAACAAACTCGAACGGGTACTTCGACGAGCGTCTACGGGTTCCCTGGACAACTCTCACCTCAGCCCTACGCAAAGCAGGGGTCGACCTCTCCCGCCTAAGCAACATCGAAGTCCGTGCTGAGGTCGTCCCCCTCCCTCCTATCCCCAGTTTCGCACCCGATCCAACCCAAGCCCCTCACCCAACACAACAAAGCCCTCCCCTCGAATATGCTCTCCCTCCCTCCCCCGCGCTCAGAGTCATCTCCGACATCGACGACACGGTCAAGCACACCGGTGTCCTGCTCGGCGCTAAACAAGTGTTCCATAATGTGTTCGTGAGGCATCTGGATGAACTCGTACTGGATGGAGTGGGAGAATGGTACAGGGAGATGGAGCAGTGGGGAGTTGGGTTCCATTATGTGGTCAGTACTGCACTTTCCTTCATTCCTCATTCGACGGCTGATGTGAGGCAGTCAAACTCACCATATGAGCTGCTGCCCGTCATTAGAGAGTTCTTTGAGGTAGCCGGTCTACCGCAGGGTGCGTCCATCTGACCGATCCCCTTATGAGCATCATTCCCTGACACTTCTCTGCAGGCTCCATCAAGCTCAAGTACTACTCCCCTTCGGCAGTTTTCACCGGTCTCTGGGACTCCGCCGCCGACCGGAAGCGGCACGGCGTCGTCGAGGTGCTCGACGCCTTCCCCTCCTCCAGGTTCATCCTCATCGGTGACACCGGTGAGCAGGACATGGAGCTCTACGTCCAGCTGGCACAAGAACGGCCCTGGCAGATCGTGGGCATCTTTTTGCGGGATGTCACCCCTCCAGCATGGACAGAAGACGGAGAGCAGAGAGAAGAAAGACGGCCATTCCGGCGATCCATGTCCGGCATGTCCCTGGCCTCCACGGCATCGCTCAGCGCCTCTCTGCCCGTCGGTGGCTCCCCGCTGTCTTCTCCCGTTTTGGAAGCATACCAACCCCGCCGAACCCACACGGCATCCTCCACCCCTCCCTCCCCAGCCGCCCAGCCAACCCCCCAATCCCCGGCCATGCCTTCCAGCGTAGCCTACCTCTCCCAGTCCGCTGCCCAGCAGCCAGCACCAATAACAAACGCCAAGGCTGGGGAGGTGTGGCGTGCCCGGCTAGCGGCGGCTAGGAAGGCAGTGCCGGAAGGCGTGGGGTTTACCATCTTTCGAAGTCCGGAGGAGTGTGGAGAATGGAGGGGGATCGTCGCTCGGTATGCGGGGGGCGAATAGACGTCGGTTTGTGAATGTAAACGTTGGATTTAGCCGGCTGGAATCTTGAACAACTATTATGTTATCTATGTCCCATTGCGCCTGCGTGGGATGACTGTTGTATACCTAAACCGTTGCTTAATCCAATTGACCGCCAATAAGGCGAACAGCCAGGACCGCGAAATCTACCTTAGACCCAGCGTACATGAATAGCCATTTTACGCACAACGCATAGTTATATGTCCATATGTAGTATACAGTAAGATACAGGACGACCCACTCCCCACCGTCCTTTGCAGTCGTATCGCACGCCATCCGTGCGCAGGGTATCTAAGTGCTCTCATGTGGCTGAACGGGCGCCGGCGCAACCTCCGGCGCATTAGGACGATTCGGATGGGGTTCAATAGCGTCCACCGCGGCCCTAGCTTCCTGCCACGACTCCATATTCTTCTTGCACCAGTCTCTGTGCACGCGAGCCATGGTCAGTGCCATATCCCTCAGGTCGGCAACTTTTTGCCGCTGGAAACGGTCTAGGTCAGCTTGGATCGTTTGCGAGGTATAGCGCAGATCTTGGGCAGAGGCTTGGAGCGCGTCTTCCAGCTGCGGCGGTCGTCGGTTAGTCAAGTGCATCTGGTGAGGTAGGGGAAGAACACACCTGGGAAATCGTATCTCTCGTCTTGCTAATCCCGTTCCTCCGCGCAGCCTCAGGGTCAGCATCGATAATCCCCTGCAAGGAATGCGACAGCGTGTTAAGCAGTGCGAACCCAGGGGCGCGCCGTCTAGCCGGAGGTGCAGCAGCACGGGTTATCGACCCTGAAGGGAAGGGAGATTCTTCTTCCTGCTGTTCCCCTGCCGCTGTGTCGTTGGGCTCCGCACTGGCCTCCTCCGCTTCAATCTCGGAAGACCGCCTAGCAGCAGCATCATGATGCATACTGCCCGACAGGGCCGTATCGAGCCTCTTAGCCTCAGCCTCGTTCCGTTCCAGGTCGTCCAGCGACTCGCGTTTCGTGTCCAGCAGTTCCTGAGTAAGCTCGTACTGCAAGTGCTTTTGGTGCCGGTACTGCAGGAGCCGCTTGATGATCGCCGAGAACTGGGCGTATTCCTGCAGGGACTCGTACCACGTCTGCTCGAGTTCCTGGAGCTGCGAACTTCACAAATGTTCCACCGACGGACAAAATCAGATAAACACACCAGTTTCGATGTAGACATGTAAGTCGCGTCGACCGCCTGGCCGGTCTTTTCCATCGCATTGGCGAGCGACCCGCCCTCCGTAAGGCTGAACCCATTCAAAGCCGCCCCCAACTCGGAATAATCATGGGAAAACTCTATTACAAGAGCTCTCAGCGCGGGCACACGAGTCCAAGTCTGCACATACCCGACCAGCGCTTCATCGTCCGCCTGGTAACTCTCTCCATAGTCCCACTGACATGATTTGCAAACTTGTTCGTAAATGCTTCCGAGTCGAGGAACCGCTGGTCAGGACGGCGGAGCGGCTGGGCAGCGGAAGGAGTGGGGATAGCCGCGTAGACCGAGGCGGAGGATGTATCGGTTGGGTTGTGCGCCGGGGCTTTGAGGATATTCTTGGGTAGTTGGGAGAGGGGTGGGGAGTGGAGTACTTCGGACTGCGACGCATCCCGTCATACCAGGGACAGGATTAGAAGCGCAGTAAACTCACCCAAGAGACGTCCCTGTCCAAAAACCGATGAAAGACATGTTCGTTCGACAAGATTGGATGCTTCGCGACGCGATTCAGGAATACCTGGAGCATCCTCTTCCTGCGTGCAATCATTGCCGCGTCTTCTTTGGCCTTGTTCTGCTTTACCGCGTATTCCCCAATAGACTGTTTTGCCGGGATGGGGGGGACGATCATGGCGGGGTAGAGCTTGACCAGGCTGGTGCGGAGGGACTCAAATTCCGAGTAACGGCGGCGGGCCTCAACGTTCTGATAATGAGGTGAGCTGATGTGCAGTAAATTGGAGATGGTGCTCACTCCTGTACGGATGACATAGACGATGTAGGACGAGGAAGAGCCTTCGGAAGTCTTGAGCGCGTCCACGACCTACGCGAATAAGCTTATTTCGAGGAGTGAAGCAGGATGCGCACGAGGATCTCGACATCTTCCCCCGAGTGAAGCCACATATCCCTGGTGCAACACGGTTCTGTCCTCTGCTGAGGAGCAGTATAGGGTGAAGGGAAGGGCTTGTTCGTGGTTGGGAGTGGGGAGATGCTCAGTGGCTTGGGTTGGTCTGTGTCCTGCGGGGTAGATCCTTCGTCATCGTCTTCTATTGCTGGGGAGACGTCGTCCTCTGTGCGAAAAGGGTTTATGTCATCGTCACCGTCCATGGTGGTATGAAAGAGAGAGGTAGCAATGAGATGAGATGAGGAGACAGTGAGGGATGAAGCAACGACAACCTGGAAGCGCACGTAACGGCCGCAGTCACGTTCCCTTACACAGCCACTTGATTGCTCCCGTATAAGGGTCTTGCTACACGGGGCCGAATAATATTCCGATGAATGATTTAAATTAAATGTGTTGAAGAAATGAAATATAACTATTATTGTTGATGATTGTTCATGTTGCGGGCGTATCTCCGTCGTGCAAGTGCACATATACAATGCAATACTTGTCAACTATCATATTACAGCCATTCAATACCTCAAACAGTACACTCAAACGCACTCGAATCAATAAAACAGTTCGTACTAGGACATCCGACAACACAGGAAGAGGTGCGTTATTCTCCCTACTCTTTACATTGCTAACATTCAACAGGACGTCGACCTTCGTTCAGTGTTCAACGTCAACCCACCCCCCGCTCCAACCAACCAACAGCCTCACACCGCCCATCTCAGGCCACACCAACTTTCCCCTTCTCTGCCCCGCAACGCTTCCACAGCAGCAACGCTCGCCCCTCCCTCTTCCCACCCCCTCTTGGACCACAGCGCAGCCGACTGGCGCACATGGGCAGACAGGCTCGCAGACCCTGCTCATTCCGCATCCCTCGCCCCAGAAGAAATAGAACATCTTCTCATCGCACTCACCCTCAACTGGTCAACCCAAGCACGCGCAGTCCGCCTGCTCAAGCGGCTCGTCATCCGCCGTTCTGCCGAAGAACTCAGACGCATCCTCAGCTGGAAGGCGGTAGAGCGGATAGTTCATGCAGGAGAGAAAAGCAGCGCCCACCAGCTCCTGGCCGTCCTCGTTCAGATCGTACTGCGCTTGTACTGGCCGCACCGGGATACCTCTGTCCACTTCCCCTTGAGATGGGAGAGCAACGTCCCCCGCATGGAGCCCGTGTTAGACCACTTCATCCCCCCAAAAGGGAAAGAACGACCGCCTGCCTACGAGACAGCGCACTCCGAGCCGGACATCTCCCCACCAACCCTCTCACGGGAAGAGAAGCACCTTGCGAGCCGTGTTCTCACCCACGTCCTAGAGATCTACTTCCACCGACACCTCTACCTCGAAGTAACGCGCTTTCATGCCCAGCTCCTCTCGCTCGGCCTCACCCCCGACATAACCTCCTTCAACCGCGTCCTCCAATCCCATTTCCGCTGGTTCCTCTACCCAGACATGTACCGTTCCAAGCGGAACAGCGTCACTTTCCAGCAACTTACCGAATCTGTCCGGCACACGCTCGACCAGATGCGTGAATACGACATCACGGCGAACAGTTCTACCCGCTCGATACTCATCTACGGCCTCGTCCGGTGTATCCTCTTCTCTCCCCTTCCCGAACTGCACACCCGATGGGGCTCGATCGCACCCGTCATCACCAGGCTCCCATCGCACGCAGAAGGGGATATAATGCTCCGCCTGACATGGACCGAGGCGTGCCTAGAGCTTGCAGAGCTCAGGGCAAGGAAGGACGCGCATGTGCAGTACAAGCTTGGCCGGGAGGTGACGCGCACTGAGCTGGAAGCGACGCAGGAAGAATGGTTCCACCAGAGTCTGGGAGCGATGCAGCGTTTTCTTCTCGTCTCCGGCTCCAACTCCAACTCCAATTCCAACTCTAACTCTAACTCGTCAGCACGGAGTTACACCCAACTCACGCTCTTCCAACTCACGTACGAGCTCCGTATCTGCGCGCTCAACATGCGTGCCGCCCTCGTAGACGCCGACATCCCCTCCGCCGCCTACTGGCTCCAACTCCTCCGGCCAGGGTACGAGCACGCACTTCAGCGCCTGGCCCTTCCCGAGAACCATAACTGGGGGTTTCTGCGAGCAGACATCCAGCAGCGGTTCGAGGCTTCCACGGTCCGGTTCGTCAGTTACGCTCTGGAGCGGGGAGCTTTAACCGATGCACTGGGCGCGCTGAATTGGGGAAAGTATATAAGACATCCGAGCACGCTGTTGATGCTCTGGCGCAGGGTGTTATGCTTTCAACCAACGGAGAACCTTCGCTGGGAAGACCGGGGCGTAGGGGTAGGAGAGGCACTGGAGAGTCTGATGAGGACGCTAGATGCGCACCCGAAGCTGGGGCCCAAGAGCCCGCTGAAGCGTTCCTCCGGGCTCAAGGGGATCTACTTGGTACAGGTGAACGAGAAGCTCGTAGCGTACCATCTTTGGGCTGCGCTGCTCGGTTCTGCACCGGGTGACAGCTTGCTCAGGGCACTCCGGTTCCCCGACGCAGGCCGGGGGAAGCGATTAGACTTTCTGAGGAAGGTGTTCGACAGATGTGGAGTGACCCCTTCGGCGAAGTTCTGGAGTGCGCAAGGATCGTTTGTCGAGTTTTGTAGGGGGAAGCATGTGGAGGAAGTAGGGCAGGAGGAACTGGATTGGGTCAGGAGGGTGTACGAGGGTCGGCGGGGGGATGCGCCTGCGCTTGCTGATGGGGATGGGGAGGGAGAGGGGAGAGGCGGGACGTTCAGGTTCTTTGGAGTCAAGTTTAATGTCAAGGATAAATAACTTGGACCAACATGTATCATTAGGGTTAATGTTGTATACATTGTGTGTAAATATTGGCGATATCGGATGCCGCACAAGAACGGCAGAGCAGGGAGGATGGGCGGCGTCACTCCTTGTCGGATTGCTCCTGCTCCTTGACTCTCTTCGCCACGATCTTCCCACCTAGATTCCTGATGTTCACAGCGGCTCGCTCGATCCCGCGCTCCTTGCTCTGCTGATAGAATTCCAATGCTTCTTCAAGATGCCCGCCTAAGACCGGGGTCAGCAGATAAAATAGCACGAATCGGGAGGTGAAGTACCTGCTTCGAGCACAGCTGCTAAATTGTACGAAATTTCAGGATCTTCGGGTGCCAGCTTGTGCGCGATCCTGATAGTTCGGAAGTCTGAGCAATGGTTGTTATAGGAAAGCACAAGTACGAACCGGAGGTGCCGCAGCGCGAGTTCTCTTCGCGGAACGGGGGACATGATGTATGCGGACGCCAGGTCTAGAGGATGATCAGGAAGAAGAGAAGAGTTCACCGAAGACACTGTACTGGTATGTGCGTCAGCACTTCTTGGTTCCATTTCAATTGATTCCAGCCACGCTTGGATCGCAGCACCATAGTCCTCTAACAACAGCATGAGAATTCGTCTCTCTCCATCCCCGAGAACACTTACTAGCATGATACCGAATGACACCAAGATTGTACAACGTATGCGCTGTACGGCGAATTTGCACACTTCGTTCATAGCATTTTGTTGCTCCTTCGAGGTCCCCTTCTTCTAGCTTCCGGGTACCGTCTTCGAGCGCTTTGATCGCTTCTGCGTCGGTGGGATCGATGAAAGATGGCGTCGACGCGGATGAAGCAAATCCTTCAAAGCAAACGATTCCTGATCGTATCAACGTCACGAATGATAAAGAAAATGCTTACGACATGTTAAAAATTTAGGAGCCTTCACTGTTCTTGAGAGAGATCGAGGCGCAGCTTTTGTTACATTACGTGCTGCGCCTCGAAGCGCTGTTGATGAAAGTACGCGCGTGAACATGGCACCTTCCAAGCAGCGTTTCTATTTCCTCAGCGAACACTAAAAGACCAAGAATACTGGTTTGACACGCGCACAGAGAAGCTTCGAACGGTCAAGTTTGCCCTGGATATCGATGTCGCGGAAAGTGTTTTGCTGAACGAGCGCTACAGAGTAAAGAAACTTTTTTTTTTTGCTTCCGCGGCTTACCCCTCGCGGCTCAACAGATACTGGCCACAAGTCAGATTGACAAATTTGCATATGATCAAGACAGTCTGGTTGGATTCTTTACATAATTCTCTTTCGTATGTATGTATTATACAACCCTTGTTGCCGATTTGGTTCTTTCTTCTGCCTTCTGTATTCCCGGTATAGACATCAACGTTCGTGAAGGTCCTTTCGATTCATAACAACACAACAACAGCACGTTTTCCCTTCAGCATCTTGCAAGAAAGGGATATAACACCCTCCCAGCGCGCTGGTGGATCCATTTTCGTTCTACAATCTATTCGCCGTGCGTCAACGGGTCGACCCAAATGACACCATCGCGTTCTTGCCAGGCGTAAGCGAACTGATGCAGATAGTCCTTTATGCCGCTTGCCAGGCGCAGCTTGGACGTGCCGCGAGCAGGATCGTTTGTACCAGTATGCCTCTCCTCGCCAATAACAATATAAGCTATATGGTAGTCAGCGCCTGTTTAACCAATATTCGAAAAGGTACATACCAAGACCATGATAATTCTCATGTTCCAAGCTAGTCAAGAATTCGTCTAGGATTTCCTGGCCTTCATTCGCATGCAGCGCATGTAGATCAAGCACACATTCCATTCGTTCCTCTGGCGTAGGCGCGCCTTCCCTCGCAACACCAAGGACGACGCCCAAAGCGTTTCCACAAGGCTTGCCGCGACTTGTCCGATCCGCAGCATCATCCGCCGCCCAAGTCTCGCGAGCACGCACCGCATCCTGTGCGATCCTCGCGCGTTCCTTGACGAGCAAACGAGCTGAATGAGCCAGCTCAGCCTGCATACGCGCGTTGAGGTCTGCCGCAGCGCGAGAAAAGCTCTTGGCAGCAGCACCGTCGTTGCTCCGCCAGGCGTTGGCAGCTTTGGTCAGGTTGGCATTCCTGTTGGCAGCAAGCTGGTGCGCACGACTGCGATACTGCATGTACAAGGCGCTGACCGAAGCCCCGGTAGGCAGTGGGGGAAGGAGTGATGGCGGGCGTAAGCGGATACGAGTCGACGGACGAGGTTGAGGCATCCGGTCGTAGATTGACTGTTGCGGAAAGTCCACTGGGCCACGCGATTGGGGATTGACCATGAATTGCCGGCCTGTGACGGCGATGTGTGGACCGTAGCCTCGAGGTGTGGCGGATGTCTTCACAGCGTTCGCGAACCTCGTTCGACTAGGATCGAACCCGGCACGAGCGGGGCCGAATGGGTACGGACCACGGCGCCCCAGTTGCGGGAAGTCCTCTCCGCCCTGCGGCGTTTGAGGGCGTGAATTGGACGCACTCGCCCGATTGGCAGCGATTACGGCCTGAACTTGAGCCTGGTCCCAACCTGGAGGGATCTCGTGCACGAACTCGCACTGCTCGCCTTTGGCACATTGGCCGCGAAGCCAGAAACGGCACAAGGCCCGTTCGATATCGTGACTAAGGAACCCGATTAACTCTTGAGAATAGCGCGAAAATGGTACAACACACCTGAAACGACAATCCGCCCTCCTACACTCACCCTGCAAGAAATACCTGCAAACGCGATTGGGTACCCCCTGGGGTCTGCCACCAGGCCCCATCATGCCATACCTCGGGCTGCCTCTGTCTCCATTCGCCATCCGGCTATAATCCTCGCGGGGCATGACGAGGACGCGCCCGCCACCATGGGGATGCGCTCTGGGCTGAACATGATGCGCGCCGTTCCCGTTGTGCGGTCCGGGTATTCCCGTACCCCCGTTCTGCCGGTCCACAAGCCAAGCGATCGCACCCTCGAAGTCGTACCCGCTTTCCTGGAGTGCCTGTTCCAGATCTTGGGGGGAAGCGGAAGAGCCAAACATCTGGATGAGCATCTCCATAGGTGTCATGCCCATGCCATCTTCGCCTTGGCCGTACTGTCCATATGGTCCAGGGAGCGGGTAGCCGTCTTCGTCTAGCCCGCCAAGGAGGTAGTGATTGGGCATGTGAAGAATATCGTCGTCCGAAGGAGGGGAATTATCGTCAGGGAGCATGTCCATCCTGCCGAATTGGCTCGCAAGCATGCCCATGTCGTCTTCCGTTGTCGAAGCGTAAGGATTCCGTTGAGTAACACCGAGCATGTTCATCGGCCCTGGGACGTCGAAGGAGTGACCCGGGCTGCTTGCACTCGCACTGCTTCCGCCTGACTCAACGTCGTATGGCGAGCAACCGTAAGGCACGCTAAGCAAACCTGCTTTGGATGCTTGATCTTTCGCGGCCATGTAGAACGGCGAGAACTCTTCGTCGTCCAGCGTATCCGACCGTGGGCGCATCCGGATAGGTTTCACGCCGCTCGCTGTGTTCGTAGGTGTACCAGCAGCAGTGTTAGACTTGACGGGGGTGGCATCATGACTCGCCGGTGTGCCGGGACGCGAATCATCATCGTCGTCATCCTCTTCTCCATGAACGGATAATACCCCTTTGCCAGCAGCTCTGAAACTCGCAGCTAGCGGACTGGGGACGGGTGATTCCCTTGTATATTCCGGCAGGAGCGGAGCGGCAATGGCAAGTTTGCTCGAGAAACTTGGTGTGAGCATGCCGGCGTCGTTCGAGTTATGTGTCCATAGGTTGTCCCCCGGGCTTTCTCTGCCATGAGTAGCAGATACCCCGCTGGCATTGAAGCTGCCGCTCATGGCGCTCAAGGGTCTGCCAGATCCAGGGCGGAACTCAAGTGCTTTGGCGTTGAGATAACGCGGTGAGCCGGTGGGCGAAGGCATGCCAGCGGAGGCCAGGTCGGAGCTGCTCAAGCTAGTGGGAAGAAGCGGCCGGGCAGCGGGCATTCGCACGCTGCCGAGGCGTGGAGAAGGGGTGGGAGAGTCGGAGAAAGTACTTCCAGCACCATATATGCTGCTGAGTGGACCGCCACCGTCACTTTCCTCCCCTGATAAGGCCGAATTCGCGTGTGCTTGGATCAACACACTTGTCAACCTGCTTGCACTGACAGGTGTATGCGGCCTGTTTCTCGCGCCAAAACTTCCCGTGCGGCCAGATTGGCCCAGGAGTGTCGGGGTCTCGGGTCGACGATATGAGTTCTGCGATGCGCGGGAAGATGGGCGAGAAAGGTTCTGTGGGCGCTTGATAGGCGTAAGCACTGAAAACGGCATTCCCATGAGGTCGCTGTGATGCTTGTGCATTAGTTCGATAACATGCGCGTCCAAGTTTGCTTCAAACTGCGAATGCACGTGTCAGCATACCTAGTCAGGTAACAACACAAAGAACGCACTTCTGAACCTTCAGCACCAAAACTCTCCTTCAGCTTCTTCCTGAGCTCTGGCTCATCCTCGTCCCTGATGAGTCCCACAACACGCCTAATGAACTCATTTCCGCCTAACGAGCTGATCGGGTCGCGTCCCTCACCCTCGCTCTCCCCATCGCTCCCGATACTGGGACCAAGTCCAACGGGAGAGCTGCCTAGGTCGTCGGGTGCACGGTATTGTCGTGCGAGAGAGGCGAGGAGAGCGCGTGTATGCGGATACTTGGGGTTAGCGGAAGGGGTGGATATGGCCGGGGCAAGAGTGGAGGATAGTGTAGCTGGCGGGGATGTCGATAGGTCGGTTGACATCGTATTGGTCTATTTGGGTTTGGTCGTCTGTTTTAGACGACACAGATCGAGTGTAGAGAACGAACGGGGATAGCTTTGTACAATGTACACAATTGGTTTCTTTCAGGTTTCGAGGTTTAGTTGGTTCGACTTTGGCTGAGGTTTGATATTTTCTTTCTTTCTTGCTCTAGGATGGCGCGTTGTGAGTGGCGTGAGCGCAAGCGTCGTCCGAGCGCGGTGGGTTCCGTTGTGAGCTTAAGCGGGTAAACGAAGCTAGCGCGGGGTTTGCCAGCGTTGGCTTACGAGTCCGTTGTCAGCGGGGGTACAATGAGAGAGGGGATGTTGCCGGACCAGCCCTGGCAAGGGGGGCGTAGAGGAGGAGGAGGAGGAGGAGGAAGAGAGGGGGGGAAGGGATGCCGCAAGTGAAGGGGGGATAGAAGAGAGCGGAGATGCGAGCCTGAGCCTATGCGTAAGACGGGCAAACGAACGGACCATTCATCTGCTCCCGTTCCCCGCAATCGCTCTCTCTTCCCCCATCTGCTACCAAACTACTCTCGCTGACAATCACTTGTTCTTCTACCATCCATTCACCCAAAAATACGCAATATTCTCCCATTTCAGCAACATAACATCCACGTACAACTCCCATTTCATTTCACACCGTCTTATGCACTCACAACTGCTGCACATCCGGCACACGTGGCGTCATCCCACGTGCATCTTGGATCACATCACCGACGTCCCTTGGGCCGAAACAAAGCTCATCATCATCGTGTCTCACTCCATCCAGTCTAGAGTCAAAAGACCGGCCCTACACTTTCCCACTGTCGCTGTACAGGACCTCTGCGCCGTAACCCAGCAACTTGGGAAAGAAAAAAACAACGCCATGAGTTTCCCGCGTTTCAAACGTCCTCCCCCAGCGTCGTCATGCCTTTTTTTGCCTTCGCGACGCCGTTTCAATATCGCCGGTCTGATGTAGTAAGCGTGAGGTGATACGATACAAGATCCCCGACTTTGCGTCATTTTTACTTTTCCTATTGTCAATTTCTCGTCAGGGTTCCTCGGAGCTGACTTTTTGTTCGGCTGCTTTTTTTCCCTTCACAACCAGGACAGAAGTTGTGGGGTAAAAGGGACGCGTCAGCGCTTTGCCTCGTGTACTCCACCCTGTCCCCTGCAAGAGGAGGGCAGGGTGGATGGCCGGGCGAGATCGGGGCCCGAGTGCTTCTGGTCAAGAAGCTCGAACGATATCAGCTTCATCAATTGATAGAAACTAACATCACTCTGATGAACTACAATCACGTCCTGGCTCAAAGATACTGATGCATGCAATTCGACCGATAAATTCAATCAGTATCAATAATACGAGCAGTCCTCCGGACTCGGTATAGAAAAATTGTCACTAAAGCGTGCTTGGTATAACCATGCCAGGTAATGCGGGGTTTGTAACGTACTTGGTTCTACTTCAGTCAGATCTACCCTGTTGGCTTTCCTTTTCCTCTTCTGGTGTCTCATCCTCATCCTCGCCATCTTCCTCATCCACTCCCTCATGCGCCGATTCGACATGCTCTCCGTTCACGGGATGCGTGGCCTGAACAGGCGAGGGAATCGTGTAGTCTCTAAACCCAAGCTTCTCCTTAAGCCTCGTATCAAGGCCCTGGATATCTTCGGCCAACGAATCCCAATATGTCGCAATCTCAAGCGGTGTGATCTCCGACTCGGTCTCCTTGTGCGTCTCTTCCTCTGTCACCTGCAACCAAATCAACACCGTGTCCTCCATCCAGCACACCGAGCACAGTGACGCACATGAGCAAACACCTTCCTAGCAATCCCAGCAAGCTCGACCTTCTTCCCCACCTCCTCTCTCAAACTCTCCAGCTCCGCCAACTTCCTTTCGATCTCCAGTCTTTCCCGTCTAGCCTCCTCCAACAGTTTCTCCTTTTCGCGTATAGTCGCCTCCAGCTCCATCTCTCCAGCAGTAGCGGTCTCCGAAGCGGAGAAGCCGCTTTCCCCTGGAGAAGCGGCCGTGGTGCTGCGGGAGAACGCCGGGGGAGCGGTGGCATCCTCCGGAACAGCGGTAGTAGCAGACCGGTGCAGGTCGCTCGATGCCATCTCTGGCTGGAACAGAGTATGTAAAGATGAAGGGGTAGAAGGAGGACGAAAAATGTTTTGCTCGCTCCGTCGTCCAGTGGACGCAGCTCCTTTCGAGAAGTCGTCAGGGAGCCTACTACGCTTGTCCACAAAAGGGCTGTGACGCGGGCACGGCGTGGCGCTTTCACGTGCTTCAGCCGGACTTTCTTCCGGAGCCGACGTTTGCCTCCGCAGAGAATTTCGACCTTTGAACAGAGCCGGACGGCGCCTGCACGGCTGAGCTCATCGTCCTCCGCATCCCACCTTGCTCTCTTTCTCCCCCTTTCCTCCCCAAAAATGTCCTTCTTCGACTTCAACAGGGACAAGAACACTCCCTCCCCCGCGGCCACGTCCGATGCTTATGCAGTCCTCGCCGGCGCACCCATAGCCCGGCAAGGCGGGGCCACCTCTGTCTCCCCCGCATCCGAGGCGCTCACAGCGACGGATCTTCTCAGCGCAGGCTCGTTCGATGCTGCCAGGCTGCATCCTATGGCTCAGCTGGGGGACAAGCTGGACTACCTCTTGCTGGAGGACGACAAGGTTAACCAGCTCCCTGGGTCGGGGACGGCGTTGCCCAGCCGAGGGTGGAGCGACGACCTCTGCTACGGAACGGGGACGACGTACCTTTCGGGTGAGTCCCTTTCTGCTTCGTTCTGGGGAAAGCTGACAAAGGATAGGTCTGGCAATTGGTGGACTGTGGGGGTTTAGGGAAGGCGCTATCCGCCCACTGGCAGTGTCAAACACCCGTCTCCGGATCAACAGTATCCTGAACAGCGTCACCCGGCGAGGGACATTCATCGGCAATTCGGCCGGTGTGATGGGTGCGTCCTTTCTTCCTTTCAGACATTCGTTTGGCTGACGCAGGGTAGCACTGGCGTACAACGCTATCAATTCCTGCATCGACGGCTATAGGGGGAAACACGATACCTGGGGTTCGCTCGCCGCCGGCGGACTCACAGGCGCGCTTTATAAGTCCACAGGTGCGTTCACTCCAATCCCAGAACACATTCATTACTGACATCGATGTAGCTGGTGTGAGGCCCGCTCTGGCTGGTGCGGCCGTCATGACCGGTGTCGCCGGTATCTGGTGCTATATCAAAACAGTTATCGTATAGTCCCACCATCTGGAGTCGATCATTTTGGTCTACAGGTGTGCAGAAATGAGAAGATGGGGATGTCCGTTCATTGTGTTCGGTTTGTTAGGATGATGTCATTGTATTTTCTTGCACTACTCTCCGCTCTAATATATTCTGGAAAGCTCCTTCTCAGGGTGTGGACCAAGCTGGTGATGCATCAATTGTTAAGTCGACCGGCTGCGACAACCGGCTGGAAGAATGGGGTGTAGCTATTCGAAGCACATGTCATCTTGCCTTTACACGACTGTTCGTTCCGAAATTCGGAACACGCTCACCAACCAAAACCACACGTCCTTCACATGCATCCTCAGGCAATATCGTAAGCGCACAGCCAACCCTTGCAGGCCAGCATCTTCCCTCACCATGGGTACTTGCACTTGCCCTATCACAGGCAAGTGCGCAGCCGGGACTGCATCTCGGCAAGTGCACCGCCCCTTGCCTGTCGACCTGGAGGAGGATGAACAAACCGGATCATCCTATGCTAGACTGCGAGGTGTAGCGCAGGATGACAGTATCCGTTACCCTGCCCATAGCTATGAATATGCATGAGCTATAGTCCCGGCACCTTTGGTTCGGAGTCCTTGCTGCGGTCCGATGTCTCAACCCGGTGTGGCGCAGTATCAGGATAGGCCGACAGGACCCCGAAAGCAGCTTCCCTTCCGCCTCCGGGGGCGGATACCCCAATGGCACACACCTCATAAGGAGCGAAGGGAAGTGTGTCCACTGTTGTCCACTCCAGAGTGAGCATACATCTGCCCTTCATCTCCTCGACTTGCTCGACCTTTCTCCTCTTCTTCTACCTGCAACTAAAGCGAATATCTAACTCCCGAATTTACAATCCTACAAATGTCTAACAAGGACGTGCGTACTTCCCTCTTGAGTTCTCCCAAATTAAGTTAACATCAAACAGTACTACAGCGGCGGTGGCCCGCAATACGGACCTCAGTATGGTGGGCAGCCACAAGGCGTACGTCTTCCCCCTTTGCTTTCCTACCTACCTAGCTAACCCGTATACAGGGCTACTACCCACCCCAAGGCGGCCCTCCCCCGCAGGGCTACTACCCCCCCCCCGCAACAGGCATATCAACCCGGTGGTCCGCGTACGTCCTCTCCCATCGTCTCCCCTCTCCCAACCCTGTCTAACTCCGTGCAGAATACTACCCCCAGCAGCAACCGATGTACCAACAGCCACCTCCCCCGCAGCAGTCGGGCGGTGGTGATCTCGCAAGCGGCACGTGTATGGCCTGTCTAGCAGGCATGTGTCTGTGCTGCTGTGCCGAAGGTCTGTCCCCCTCCCCGCACCTCAGAGACACCCACTCACGCCTTACTCCAGACTTGTGCAACCTCTGCTTCTGATCCTACTCCTCGCTTAGGGCTTGGACTGGGGACTCTATCCTACGTACTCTCGTAACGACCGAGCTTGTATCGATACTCGACGCCGGCAGGGCAGGAACGAGCCGTTTTCATATCACCTAGTTGTCTAACTGAGTTCTCTCTTTGCTGTTTGATGTGTGTTGAGAGGCCTCCACTTGCGTTTGGCACGTTAGGAAAGGGACGGGGTGTGGGAAGACGCCAAGCAGGGTGTGGGTTTACCCTGCTCGAACGTTTCTCCGTCCGCATCCTCCGTTGTTCGACGACAGTGCCCTAAGCCCATCCATCACCAAATGCTGCCCAGGGCGTGTACCACTTCCCCAATTCATATCAAAGTCCAAGGGCTCGGGGGACGATGACCTTATCTATTCAACTGTGCACCGCCGTGGATGACGCTCTCAGTCCTGTTGGGTATGTGTCTGATCGGGCCGATCCAGAGCCGCGGTGATGAGACAGCCCAAGGTATACGAAATGGACCTGCATGAAACAAGGACCTATTACTATTGCGATACATAAGGGGCAGCCTTGAGTATTAGATAAAGCAGTGATTGATGTAATGTACGTATACGGTGAATGTTGAATTGTAGAGAACAATAAGAACAATAATAAGCTAAGTATGGGAATGAATTAGACAGGGTGATGATAAGTTTCCACTCTTGTAGATAATCTAGATGGACAAGATAGATTGACACATGTTAACAATGCGGCACAAGTGAGTTGTAGTTGACTGCAAGGGGTACGCCGTAATACAGTGAAGGCCTTCTCTTGTCACGTTCTTTTACACGCGCCGCCACAAGATTTTCTTTTTCTTTCAATTGCCCGTCCACGCCACTCTACACTTTGCTCCTTTCTTTCTTTCTCCTCCTCCTCCTCATTCCTCATCCCTCTTTTTCATTTTACCATAATTCTTTCTTGCAAAGTATGGATGTAAGCAATCTCTTCCCACTATCGCCAAAACACTGCTCATCCTAGAAGCCAACTTTTGTAAACGGCCTCCACGCACTCCTCACAACTGCAAGCGCTTCATCCGACACAACCCAGATAAAAGCGGTATGTCCCCTCTCCCCCATCCGTTCTTCACGCTCTGACTCGGACTCGTGCGGTAACAGGCTACCGCAACCCTCGCCCAGCAGTACTACCGTAACCCGCAATGTGTACCCGCACTCTTCCAGATCCTCCTCACCGCGCCTGATGCTGGCGTACGCACGCTTTCCAGACCCCGGGTGTATGCTCACTGTTACCCAGGTGCGACAACTCGCTGGTGTCGAGCTCCGTAAACGTATCGCGTCGAATCATGCCAAGCTCTGGACAGAAACTGCGGTCGAGATCAGGAATGAAATCAAAACCAAGATCCTCGAATTCGCGCTTCACGAGCCCATGTACGCCCTACACCTCCCCCATTTAGTGCGTCCTGATCGTCTCGCAGCTCCATCGTCCGCCATACGGCTGCACGCGTCATAGCAGCTATCGCCAGCTGCGAGATGCGCGAAAAGGCGTGGCCCACCCTCCTTCCCTGGCTATACGAGGCCTCCACCGCTCCTGCCGCGTCGACACGCGAGGTCGGCGTGTTCATCCTCTATTCGCTGACGGACAGCATCAATGAGCCCTTTTCGGCTCACGTCTCCGAGGTGTACGAGCTGTTCCGCCGTACGATCCAGGATCCAGAGAGCATGGAAGTTCGCGTCAATACCATCCGTGCCCTGGGCATGCTGGCACAGTTCATCGATGCCGAGGAGAAGGGCCAGGTTCGCACTTTCCAGAGCATCTTCCCCCAGATCCTTGCTGTCCTGCGCGACTGTGTCGCTACCGACAACAGCGATGGCGCCAAGCACGGGTTTGATGTCATCGAGACCCTTCTCATCCTCGACACGCCTCTGATTGGCAAAGCCCTGCCCGAGCTTGTCGAATTCTTCCTCACTGTGGCAGTGAACAAGGAGGTAGACGAGTCGATTCGCGTCATGGCCCTTAACGCGCTCATCTATACGATCAAATACCGCAAGAACAAGATCCAGTCGCTTGGACTCGCCAAGTCCATCCTCGAGCGTATCATGCCCATCGGGTGCGAGGACGAGCCTGACGAGGAGGAGGAAGACAACCCGTGCCGCCTGTGCTTCCGCTGCATCGACAGCCTCGCTACTACCTTCCCTCCTAGCCAGGTGTTCCCTACCCTCCACACCCTTGTCACGCAGTATGTCTCCTCCCCCGACCCGTCCCAGCGCAAATGCGCAATGGTCTCGTTCGGCGTGGCCATCGAGGGCTGCTCCGAGTACATCCGGCCACACATCCTCAGTCTCTGGCCCTTCCTCGATGCCGGGCTAAACGACCAGGAGTGGCGTGTGCGCAAGGCGGCGTGCATCGCTCTGGGCTGTGTGTGTGAGTTCCTGGGAGACGAAGCTGCCGAGCGACACGAGATCTTCCTCCCCGCCATCCTCCGCCTCATGGGTGAGGAGCAGACTCGCTCGACCGCTTGCCAGGCACTCGACTCGTACCTCGAATGCCTGGGCGACCATATCTTGCCCTACCTGGACGAGCTCATGGTCCGTCTTATCGGCCTGCTCGAGACCGCCGACCGCCAAATGCAGAGTACGATCATCGGCGCGATCGGTTCGGCCGCACATGCCGCCAAGGCCCGTTTCACGCCCTACTTCCCAGAGTTTATGAAGCGCATCGAGCCCTGCTTCTTCCTCACCAAGGAAGAGGACCTTGACCTGCGCAGTATCGCCGTCGACACTGCTGGTACGCTCGCCGAGGCCGTCGGTGCGGAAGCGTTCCGTCCCTGCTTTGAGCCGATGATGCAGCAGGCGATGGCGGGTCTCAAGCTAGAGAGTTACCGCATACACGAGTGCAACTACCTCTTCTTCATCGTTATGAGCCGGGTGTTCCCCGATCTCATGGAGCCCTACCTCGCTGCGATCGTCCCCGAGCTGATGAAGAGCTGCAAGGAGGCAGAGTACAAGATCGGCAGTGCCGACGAGCTCGAAGCTGCCCTCCTGGGCAACGGCACGGCCGAAGCGCCCCTCGAGATCAAGTCGGACGAGGATGTGGATATCGACCTGGAGGACGCTGCGGACGCGGACGTAGACGACATCCTCAACGTCTCCTCTGCCCAGGCGGTCGAGAAGGAGATCGCGGCGGATGCGATGGGCCAGATATTCGCCAATGTCAAGCTGCCTTTCTTGCCGTATGTCGAGAACTGCCTCGAGATGCTTGTTGCGCTCCTCGAGCACTATTATGAAGGGATCAGGAAGGCCGCGGTGCAGAGCTTGATCGAGTTCCTCAGGACGTTCTACGTCTTGGCGAACTATGAGTGGACACCTGGTCAGCCGTCGGTATGCCTTCTCCACTGTGATTCCTGGATGTCGCTGATGATGATAGGCCCCTCTGCACGACAACGTCGTCAAGATTCGTGATGTGATCATGGAGGCTTTGACGGACGCTTCGAGCAGCGATGAAGAGAAGTGAGTCCTGTTCTGGACACGTCTTATGATGAAATTCTCGTAACTCAGCTCACTTCGACGCCCAAGGGCGATGAGACGAAACACGTTTCTTCTGATTCTATGCCTGCTGCGTACTGCGTATCTGAGCAATCGCTGACTCTCATCCCAGGTCTTCCGTAGCCGTGCTGTGCAGCACCCTTGGCGAGCTTCTCACTTCGTACGGCCCGACAGTGCTCGGCACGTACGGCGAGCAAGTGGCCAACCTCGCTACCTCCGTTCTGGACCGCACCCATGTCTGCCAGCAGGACACGGATCAAGAGACCCTGCCAGAGGACATGCTGGACGAAGACCAGGCGGAGTACGACTCGGTCCTGACGAGCTCGGCGATGGATCTCGTCGCTGGCCTTGCCCATGCCTATGCAGGCGAATTCAAGGGCGCCTTCCCGAAGTACATGACGCTCATCGCGACGTACGCTGGGAAAGGTCACAGTCTCGCAGACCGGTCTGCAGCTATAGGCACTTTTGGAGAGATCATCGGTGCCATGGGCGCTGCAGTGACCGAGTTCACCGAACCGCTCTTCCAGATCCTCTACCCTGCTCTCGCGGACGAAGGTGTCGAAGTCAGGTCCAACGCCGCCTACGCCCTCGGCGTCCTCGTCGAGAACAGCCAAGTCGACACCTCGAGCCAGTACGTCAACATCCTCCGCACCCTGCAGCCGTTCTTCCAAACCCCCGAGTCTGCGGCCGGGACGACCCTGAACGCGCGGGACAACGCCTGCGGAGCAGTTGCGCGTATGCTGCTCAAGAACCTCACTGCTGTCCCGCCCGAACAGGTCTTGCCAACGCTCTTCGCCGCGCTGCCATTGAAGAACGACACGCAGGAAAACAAGCCCGTGTTCAAGTGCATACTCCATATCTACCAAGCGAACCCGGCACTGCTCGACCCGTACTGGGACTTGCTGTTAAAGCTCTTCCAGCACGTGCTTGTCCCTGCTGGAGAAACGGAGATTGACGACGAGACACGCACGGCTTTACTCGCACTTGTGAGCCACTTGAACCAGGTCATACCGGACAAAGTGGCGGCGGCGGGGCTGGCGCAGGTGCAGGCATAAGCCCGCGTGCGCGTGCGCCGTCGATCACGCTGGCACAGTTATGACATGACAAGGCATGCTCACGATTCCCTTTTCTCTCTTCCTATTCCTATTTCGTTTCTGTTCCCTTTCCTCTACTTTCACTGTTTGTCCCCCCAGAGCTCTGCACGTTTCATTGGATACCACAAGAATTAATGGATGTAGTCAAGAGACTATGGTGCCTTAATGCGTTAATATTACCGATGTCGATATGGGCGCAGGACGCTGGATACGGGTGGGGGGGGTTGTTGTCCGGTCCGGTCGGACAGTGACTATGCGTGGACTGCACGAGGTTTTGTAGGTACAGGGTTAGGGCGTCAGACGATGACACGAGTTGGCAACTACCTAACTTGATAACCTCCCGACCCGCACACGCGTGGGTGCAGACCACCCCTCCTCCTGCTGGTGCTGGTGCTGATACTGGTACTGAAGTACAGCAGCAGTAGCATGAGCAGTGGAATGTGACTCTGTGACTCGAGGTCTGTTTTCCTAAACTTTGACGCGCTCTGCTGATAGATGAAGATGAAGATGAGGATGAGGATGACCATGAGCATGAGCATGAGCATGCCGATAGTCCAAGTTCCAGACAGACTTCTATAGCTACTTCTACTTCGGTACAGTTGCTCCACTCAGGGGATCCGTGTTCAGTGTACAGTGCTACAGGGATCGGACATGGGGGCAGTGCGAAATGGCGGGGAGACGACTGGTACTTGATCGTACCTCGTGGCGGGACGCCGGACGTGGGAGTCGGACACGGAAGTGAAGCTAACGCGCTACACCTCCTCCCTATCTTCGTCTATCTCCCTATCGTCCAACTCGCCCCAATCAAACTCTTCCATCTCCATCTCCATCTCCATCCCCTCCCCCTCCATCTCTCCTTGCATCTCCCCTTCCCCTTCCCCTTCCCCCTCAGCCTCGGCCTCGGGTAAGAACAACTCCTCCCCTTCCCCGTCCCTGTCGAGTGCTTCCGGCTTGGAGGAAGCATCAGGAGACCCTCGGGCAGCTACGAGCTCTGTTCCTGCTTCTGCTTGACAAGCCTGTACGAGCGCTAAGATCCCATTTGCAGAGTCCTGCGGAAAACGGTATTCAAAGTCTTCAATAACCTGGTTTGGATCAGTGCCGACCCAGTATCGGCCCATATGTTAGGGGGGGGGGGGGGGCGGCACGGTGTAGAGTACGACCAAGCTGGTAGGCATGAGGTTAACGATCTGCAGCTTCTCCGCTTTTGTGAGATCCCATCGTGCAAGCCCGTGTACGAGCAAGCGAAGGCTGGTATGCGTCTGGAGAGCGGTGTCGACATGTGTGCTTGTGAGGTATGAACGGAGTGCGATGGATAGGGAACGTTGGTTTGCTGGAAGGAGGGAGGTGGTGGAGGTGTCTGATTCTTGAATTAGGGATAGGAGTTCTCTGTTTGATAGTAGGGAAGTGCGGGGGTTGAGTATTTCCATCGGAGTGGGAGGAGTGAGAAGGTGTAACGGGTTCAATTGGTGTGGACCTTTTAGGTCATTTCATTCACTTAGACACCGAACTATCCACTGCAAACAAAAGTCATTCTCTCACTACCTCACTCCCACTACCACTTCCACTCCCCCTACTACTCCCACTCCCACTCCAACCCACTCTCAGTACTCCCAGTACTCCCACTCCTACCCACCCCCACTCCCTCATTCCCCCCCCCCCCTCATTGTCCCCCCACTGCCCCCATGTACGCCCCAGCTCACACACGCGGCCGTCTCTCCGTCGCTCTATCAACTCCTTTCACTTCTTCATTCCCTTCAATATCACTAACAACTCCCCATCACTCATTCCCATCAATCTCAATCTCCAACCTCCCTCCAAGCGCGCGCCGTACACTTCCACCAGAACTCATACTCTTGCTCGTCTCATCCGGCACCCTACTTGCGCTGAGTACGCATGTCGCTCATCTATGGCTTGTCAACAGCGATACAGGCGTAATATGGACATCTCTAGCACTCCTCCTCTCCCAATCACTCGTCGAAACCCTCCTCACACGCGTACGGAGAAAACAAAAGACAGACAGTCCCCAACTGCCTACTCCAGTGCACGCCAACATTAGGAATAGCGCACTGCATGCCGCTCTTAGGTTTCTCGAGGTCTTCTCTCTGCTGGGGATGATGCGCGGGCTGAGTGGGACAAAGTACGCATCCTCTTCCCGCACTTCCTGTGCACGCTCCATACTGATCCTGCGCAGAGTACTCCTCCTCACCCAGTTCATACAGCTCGCAGCTCTAGTCCCAACCGTACGCCCTCTCCTAGCTAACACCGACAAGCACTAATGCCTAACTCGCGCAGCCCCCTAGCGCCCGCCTCCTCCTTCCCCCCTCCCTCCTGCTGCTCATCTCCCTCCTCCCCTCCCCTTCCCGCTCCCTCCCCATCACAGCCTTCACCCTCCTTTGCCTAGCAGTGTTCGCCCTCTGCACATATGGGAAAAAGAAGTTGCCTCCCGTTTCCTACCCCGCAGTAGGAGGATCGGTCATAGCGCTCGCCATCGTCCTCCTAGGCCTAGTATTCGTACGCTCCTTCCCTCCCTCACTCACTCACACTCACCATTTCGCACATAGGACATCCTCCCCCCCTTCCCGGCACTCTTCTCCCTCCCCCTCTTCCCCCTCCTAGCGCTCACCTCCCTCCTCCTCCCCCACACATCCCACACCCTCTCCCTCCTCCTTCCCCCCAAATCCCACGCCACGCTCACCTTCTCCACCTATTCCCTCCTGGGAGCTCTGTTCGGTGCGCTGGCCTTCCGTGCCCCCCCTGGTGTGGGGGACGTGGCGCTGTTCAGCTCGCTCATATACGGTACGCCTGCCCCCCTCTCCTCCCTCTCCGCTAACCCCCAACCCAAACCAGTACTCCGACACACCCTCACCCCCAGGCCCACCCCTTCTCAACCCCCCAAGACGCCCCCCACTCAGCGCACACTCCACCTCATCAACATCTATCTGAGCCATATCTGGTCCCACCCCGAGTCCCGCCGGATATTCCTCTTCTTGCTTGTTAACCTTGGGTATATGGCGGTGCAGATGCTGTATGGGGTTTGGACGAATAGCTTGGGGTTGATATCTGATTGTGCGTCTTCCTTCTTCCTCTGCTCCCCGCTGCTCTCCTCTTCCTCCTAATGCTCGCTAACCCTATCCTACCTAGCCATCCACATGGCCTTCGACTGCCTCTCGATAGCCATGGGCCTAACAGCAAGCGTCATGTCCAAATGGCGACCAAACCCTCTCTTCACCTACGGCTACTCCCGCATAGAGACCCTATCAGGATTCGCAAACTCGATATTCCTCCTCCTTGTGTCGCTGTTCATCGTACTGGAGGCGGGGCAGAGGTTGGTAGACCCGCCGGAGATGAACGTTGATCGGTTGTTGTTGGTGAGTGGGCTGGGGTTGGCGGTTAACCTTTTTGGGATGGTGGCTACGGGGGGGCATGCGCATCATCATCATGGACATGGACACGCACATGACCATGGGCATGGAGGACAAGACCACGACCACGACCACGGGCATGAACACGGGCACGAACACAGTCATGAGCACAGCGGTGACCACGGGCACGAGCACGACCACGGTGGAGATGATCATAGCCATGATCACAGTCATGCTGAACACGGGCATGGACAGGACGAGCATGAGCATGCACACGACGAGCATGCACATGCTCACTCACACTCGCACTCCCATTCCCACTCCCACTCGCACGTAGGACATGGAGGTCACGGAGGTCATGCAGGCCATAGAGGTCACGCAGGCCATGCAGGACACGCAGGTCACGCAAGCCATAGTGCACACTCGCACGAACACGCTTATGGGAAATATACGCATATGGTCAATGGGCGGACGTACGCGCCCCAGCGGGCGCATGCGCATGTGTACGGGCACGATCACGGACACGATCATGCGCACGATCATGGGGGGCACGAGCACGGGCATGAGCACGGGCATGAGCACGATCACGGACACGAGCATGAGAATGAGCATGCGGAAGATGATCACGTACATGGGGAGGAGTGCGATCATCCTCATCCTCACTCTCACCCCCAGGACCACGACCACGACCACGACCACCCGCACACGCACACGCACCTGCACCAACACCAGCACACGCACGAGCACCAACACACGCACACGCCCCCCCAACCACGGAGAGCGCATTTCCACACCCCCAGCCCCAGTCCCAGTCCTATCAAGATGTCCACCGACACTTCAGGGATGGACGATTCCCCCACACCCACAGCTCGAGCTCACCGGCCTGCAACCCTCCTACTCAGCCCCAGCCCCGGCCGCGGCACTGGGCTCGGGTTCAGGCTCGCGCCCCCCGTAATGGGAACGGTGAACGGGAACGTGGAGGAGTCCCCTACCTCGGGATTGGAAGTGGAAGTGGAGGACACACCAATCAGTCCGGGGACGAGCCATTTTCTTAAGACTCCTAGGGCGCCGAATTTTGCTGTTGGGGTGCAGGACTCCTACTCCCACTCCCACTCCCACGAGCACGCCCATGCCCATGCCCATTCGCACACGCGCGCACACGGGCACGACCACGGACACAGTCACAACATGCGCGGTGTATTCCTTCACGTCATGGCCGTACGTCCCCCCCCCTTCCCCTCCCTAACCCCCAAAACCGCTCACCCCGCCCGCAGGACACCCTAGGCTCAGTAGGGGTCATCATCTCCACCCTGCTAATAAAGTTCTACGGGTGGAACGGCTTCGACCCCCTAGCATCCATATTCATCGCCCTGCTGATCGCAGCCTCCGTCTATCCCCTAATGGTAGACTCAGCGCGTGTGCTAGCGCTGGACGTAGGCCAGGAGAGGGAGGGGCAGATACGGCAGGCACTGAGTGAGCTGGCGAGCGTAAGAGGGTTGGAGAGTTATTCTGCAGCTAGGTTTTGGCCAAAGGACGCAGTGACGTTAATAGGGTCGATCCATATCCAGCTCTCGCCCAACCCCGCCTCTCTCGAGTCCCTCCATTCCGCCGAGCCGCACAGAGTGGAGAAAGTAGGGTATGTGGACGCGGAGAGAGTTGTCAAGAGGGTGGAGACGGTATTGAGAGAGAAGCTGGACGGCTTGGAGGAGTTGAGTATCCAGCTGGAGGGGAGTGTGGGACAGCCGTTTTGTAGTTGTAGGCCGAAGGCGCTTGCTAGTTAGCGGGGGGGGGGGGGGGGGGGGGG